CACCTCGCCCGGCTAGTTTTTTGTGTTTTTTAGTAGAGACGGGGTTTCATCGGGTTAGCCAGGATGGTCTCAATCTCCTGACCTTGTGATCCGCCCGTCTCGGCCTCCCAAAGTGCTGGGATTACAGGCTTGAGCCACCGCGCCCGGCCCCTGGTTTCATTTTCAGTGGTGCTTTGGCATTGGTGTTAAGTTAGCTTGCGGTGCAGGTTGGGATACAGATTTCTTTCCCCTCAAATGCCTGCCCAGGGGTCCCCATGCCATTCAGGGAATCTTCTAAGAGGATCCCTGCGAGTTGTTTTTCACAGCCTTTTTGGGTCCTCTGAGAATCTGATGAAAACACTGGACTTTCTCCCTAGAAAAATACCCATGCATAAAATTTTAGGCTAAAAACTGTTTCATAGGTTTCATTTCTTCCCTTTTGCAGGAAATTTGTGTTTTTCAACATACCTCAGATTCAATACAAAAACCCTTGGGTGCAGATCATGATGTTTAAGAACATGACGCCGTCACCCTTCCTGCGATTCTACTTAGGTGAGTGGGGCCCTCGCCATGGTCCAGGGGCTGTCCAGACATTCCTGGAGAGACTGCATCCTTCCTGCGGGAGCGTCAGGACGAGCTGCAGCGCGCGCTGTCATGCTGTGTCTGTGCCTCCTGGCACCTTTGGCTTCCCCATACCTAGGCACTCAGCAGCCACTGAGGTCTGGACTCCGTTCCCTCTCCAGCCTCATCTCTTATCCTCTGCCTCACACCATGGGGGTAATTGTTCCAAAGTTCCTTGTCACACCAGACTGTGATGCCTTTGCCCAAGCTTGTTTCTGGCCTGAAATCCGCTTTCTATCTGCGTTTGCTTATTTAACTGAAAAAAAAAAAAAAGTTCCTTCAGGGCTCAGTATGGGCACCACTTCTAGGAAGCCTTCCCTGCATCCGAGAGTGACCTCCCATATGCCCCCAGAAGCCCTCTGTCTTAGTGCTGTGTGTGTCCTCTCAGGACTGTGTGCACTTACACGATGCTGTTCATGTTTGGATCAGGCACTAAGTGATGTTTATTCCATTAAGTTTGGCTCCATGCTGGAAAACCAGGAGGGCAGCTGTTCTGGCCCAGCTCTCAGACACTTTGATCCTGAGCAAGTAATAGACCCATTTTAAAATCTGTCAGCTGAAGGCAAAATGTCTGCCATATATGGCTATGAGAATCAAATGAAGTGTAGGTTGGGAAATGCTTCAGGAAACAAAATGACCATGTTTTTTCATTCATTCAACAAATATGTAACACATGTTCCCTAGGACCAGGTGCTGGTCCGGAGGCTGGGATTATATCCAGCAGAGGGAGACAGAGAGTGAACAAGTAATTTTAACAAAAGATTAGGGCCAGGCGTGGTGGCTCACACCTGTAATCCCATCACTTTGGGAGGCTGAGGAGGGTGGATCACGAGGTCAGGAGATCGAGACCATCCTGGCTAACACGGTGAAACCCCGTCTCTACTAAAAAAAACAATTAGCCAGGTGTGGTGGCAGGCGCCTGTAGTTCCAGCTGCTCGGGAGGCTGAGGCAGGAGAATGGCTTGAACCTGGGAGGCGGAGCTTACAGTGAGCTGAGATCGTGCCCCACTGCACTCCAGCCTGGGCGGCAGAGCGAGACTCCGTCTCAAAAAAAAAAAAAATGAGTGCTGTGGACCTGGCGGTGCAGTGGCTCACCCCTGCAATCCCAGCACTTTGGGAGGCTGAAGCAGGTGGATCTCGAGCTCAGGAGTTGAAGACCAATATGGGCCACATGGTGAAACCCCATCTCTACAAAAAAATATTTAGCTGGTGTGGTGGCATATGCCTGTGGTCCCAGCTACCTGGGGGGCTGAGGCAGGAGGATTGCTTGAGCCTGGGAGGCAGAGGTTGCAGTGAGCCAAGATTGCACCACTGCATGCCAGCCTGGGCAACAGAGTGAGACCTTGTCTAAAAAAAAAAAAAAAAAAAGATTAGTGCTGTGAGAAACAGGACAAACAGGCAAGGTTAGAAGGGTGGCCCTGTGGCAGTTTGTGCATGTGAGCTTTGCTTATGTTTTTAAAACCAACTTTATTGAGGTGTAATTTACCTCAGTGTGCTGGTAGTGGCACACCCAAGTAGCACGTGCACCTGGATGGGTACTGGCCGTTGTTATATACCTGTACACTTATGTACATGCCCCAAGATGCAGAATGCCCCAGGACTGCAGGAAGTTCCTTAGTGCCACTTTCTAGTTAATTTCCCTTCCACCAGAGGCAACCCGTTATCCCTTCTGTCACTATAGATGCATTTTGTTTTAGAATGTCATGTAACTAGAATCTCACAGTATGTGTTCCCTTGTGCCTGGTGTCTTTTACTCATGTTTTGAGATTCACCCAGGTTACATGTTTCGTGGTTTTTCCTGTTTCTGGCTGGGTGGTATTCCATTCTGTGAACGTACCACAGCGTGTCCACTCGCCTGTTGATGACTCTTTAGGTTTTTGTAAGATGCCGAGAGAGTTAGAAGTATGACATTTATGAGAGAGAAGACCTTGAAAGAAACCGGGAGAGTGAGGAGGCCGGGCAGGGAAGGTCGCCAGAACCACAGATGAGGACGCAGCTGTGGGAGTGTTGGCCAGCGCAGCGGGACATTCTAGCCTTGTGTTGGGTACTGAAGGCCAGACCCTAGGCCCTGGCCAGGGAGAGTACGGGCTGCCCAAGTGCTGCGCAGATCCCAGCAGTCCTCCACAGGGCTCTCAGCTCAGCGGCTCCTCCTGGGAGGTCCTTGCTTGAAGGGAGGTTTGAGCGGCGGCCTCCTGGCTGCCAAGAAGAAAGCTACAGTAAAGGTGCGTGTAGGCTGCGCAGGTCTCTGGACAGAGGCATTCAGGCCTCCTGGGGGTATACCTGAGTGCAACTGCCGGGTCACAGAGCAGCTGTGTATTGAAGGTTCTCAGGCACTGCCTTTCCAAAGCAATTGTGCCGTGTTGCACTCCAGTCACAGGGTGGAGTTCCAGCAGCTGCACATCCTCGCTCACGCTAGTATTGTTGTATTCATGTCCCAGGGCTACTGTAACAATTAACCACCAACTTGGTGGCTTCACACAAATGTATGATCTTGCAGATCTGTGGGTTAGAAGTCCAGCGTGGGCTGGAATCAGTGTCAGCAGAGCCTTCCTTTCTGGAGGCTTGAGGTGAACCCACGTCCTTGCGTTTCTTAGACTCCAGTGCCTGTCCACATTCTTTGGCTTGTGGCCTCATTCTACCATCTTCAAAGCCAGCAACCTTGCATATGCAGCCGTCCCTCCATCCTTCCACCTCCCTCTGACCACAGGTCAGGTGCTGCAGTTGTAAGGACACATGGGGTTAACCTGGGCCCGCTGGATGATCCAGGATCCTCTCCCCAACTCAAGGCCCTTAACTTGAATCACATCTGCAGAGTCCCTTTTGCTGTGTAAGGTTCTGGGGGTTAGGATGTGGACATCTCTGGGGACCATTATTCTGCCCATCAAATTGTCTTTTCAAGTTTAGCCATTCCGTTGGGTGTATATCTCATTGGAGTTTTAATTTGCATTTCCCCCAAGTTTCTTTTCCTGCGCTTATTGACCATTCAGATATTTATTTTGTAAAGAGTCTGTTTGAATCTTTTTTCCATTAAAAAAAAAAAATCAGGGCCGGGCGCGGTGGCTCAAGCCTGTAATCCCAGCACTTTGGGAGGCCGAGGTGGGCGGATCACGAGGTCAGGAGATCGAGACCATCCTGGCTAACCCGGTGAAAGCCTGTCTCTACTAAAGAAAATACAAAAAATTAGCCGGGCAAGGTGGCGGGCGCCTGTAGTTCCAGCTACTCGGGAGGCTGAGGCAGGAGAATGGCGTAAACCCGGGAGGTGGAGCTTGCAGTGAGCTGAGATCCAGCCACTGCGATCCAGCCACTGCACTCCAGCCTGGGTGACAGAGCGAGACTCCGTCTCAAAAAAAAAAAAAAAAAAAAGTGGGGGCCGCTTTCTTATCAAGTTCTGTATGTGTTCTGGGGTGCATTTCCTTTGTCGGAGATAATGTCTCATGACTGTTTTCTCTGTTTGTGGCCTGCTTTTCATTTTCTTAGTGGTGTCTTTTGAAGAGCAGAAATTTTAATTTTGATGAATTCAGTTTATCATTAAAAAAAATTTTTTTTAAAGACGGAGTCTTACTGTTGCCGAGGTTGAGTGCAGGTGTGTTCTATCCTAAATTCACTTTTTTCCAGTAGTTTTTATTTTCTAGATTCCTTAGGATTTTCTACATGCACTGTAATAACGTCATCTGCAAATAAAGACAGTTATACTTCTTTTCCAATCTTTTTTGTTTTATCTTAACTCACTGGCTAAAGTGGCAGTAATATTTTGCATTTCTACTCGCAACGTATGAGAGTTCCAGTTACTCTGCATCCTCACTAGCACTTGGTATTGTCTGTGCTTTTACAATTTTAGCTATTTGCATATCTTGTTGTGGTTTTAATTTGCATTTTCCTAGTGACTAACTGAGATCTCATCATTTCGTGTGCTTATTGTTAGCCCTTTAAAAATTTTTAGTTACATGTTTATTCAGCAGTGTGGTTTGGATCTGTGTCCCCACCCAAATCTCATGTTCAGTTATAATTCCCAATATTGAGGTGGGGTGTGATGGGCCTGGTCTGGTCACCATGGGGGTGGTGTCTCATGAATGGTTTAGCACCATCCCCTTTGGTACTGTGGTTGTGATAGTGAGTTCTCTTGAGATCTGGCTGTTTAAAAGTGTGTGGCACCTCCCCATTCTCTCTCTTGCTCCTGCTCCCACCATGTGAGACTCTTGCTCCCCCTTTGCCTTCTGCCATGATTGGAAGCTTCCTGAGGCCTCCCCAGAAGCAGAAGCTGCTGTGCTTCCTGTACATCCTGCAGAACCATGAACCAATGAAGCCTCTTTTCTCTATAAACTGCTCAGTCTCAGGCATTTCTTTATAGCAATGTGAGAGAATGAACTAATACATTAAGATATTTCGCCCATTTTATTAGTTGGATTGTCTGAGTTGTAAGATTTTTTTTTAATATATTCTGGATATAAGTCCTTTATCAGATATACACATATTTTCTCCCAGACTGTGGGTTATGGTGTCTTCTGAACTGTAAAAGTTTTTAATTTTGATTTTTCAATTTATAGAGTTTTTTTTTTTCTTTTATGGATTATGTTTTTTAATGTCATCTCCAAAATATATTTGCCTAGGTAAGGTCATGACAATTTTCTCCTGTCTTCTCTTCTAGAAATTTTATAAACGTTTGAGCACTTACATTTAGGTCCCGAATCCATTTTGAGTTTTATTTTTTTTTTCTGAGGTGGAGTCTGGCTCTGTTGCCCAGGCTGGAGTGCAGTGGCATGATCTCAGCTCACTGCAACCTCTGCCTCCAGGGTTCAAGCGATTCTCCTGCCTCAGCCTCCTGGAGTTTTACTTTTTAAAATTTTAATGTTGTGGGTAAAAGTCTAAATTCACTTATTAGCATATAGATAGCCAGTTGTCCCAGTGCCATTTGTTGAAAAGATTATCTTTCTTCATTGAATTATCTTGGTATCTTTGCTGAAAATCATTTGACCTTATAAATAAGGGTTTATTTCTGGACTCAGTTTTGTTCCATTACAGCATATGTCTATTCTTTTTTTTTTTTTTTTCGAGACAGAGTCTCGCACTGTCACCCAGGCTGGAGTGCAGTGGTGCGATCTCCGCTCAGTGCAACCTCCACCTCCTGGGTTCAAGCAATTCTCCTGCCTCCCGCTAATTTTTTTGTATTTTTAGTAGAGACGGGGTTTCACTACGTTGGTCAGGCTGGTCTTGAACTCCTGACCTCATGATCTGCCCGCCCCAGCCTTCCAAAGTGCTGGAATTATAGGCTTGAACCACAGCGCCCAGCCATATTCTTATATTAGTACCACGCTGTCTCGATTATAGTAATTTCAATTTATTGTAAATTTGAAATTGGAAAGTAAACGTTCTCCCATTTTCTCGTTTTTCAGAATTGTTTTGGCTCTTTTGGGTCCTTTGCATTTCCATATGAATTTTAGGCTTACCTTCTAAGTTTCTACAAAAACACCTCTTGGGATTTTGATAGGGATTGATTGAATCTATGTACATCAGTTTGGGGAGAATTGCCGTCTTAAGAATATTGGGTCTTTCTATCCATAAACATGGAATGTCTTTCTATTAAAATAGCATGCTTTTTTACATATCTAAAGCTTATGCTTGCTCGGGTCTAAAGAAAAATGGAAAAAGGAAGGGTAGTATTATGTATTATGTAAACAAATATATCTATTTTATTATTAAACTGTTTCTGCCACTAAAATCAAGTCCCAAATTACAACTTTCTGAGGCTGAGTGTGCTGTGAGTTCTGTTTCTCTTCTGCCCTGTGCTTTCCGTTTCCAGATTCTGGGGAGCAGGTCCTGGTGGATGTGGAGACCAAGAGCAATAAGGAGATCATGGAGCACATCAGAAAAATCTTGGGGAAGAATGAGTGAGTTGTTTGGTTTGACCTGGAAGGAGCAAACTTCTCAGCCCAGAGAATTTGAGGAAGAAAGGGGTGTGTGGGAAGGGTGTTGAGAGGTAAGATTCTCTGACAGTGAACCCCAGACACTACAAGAGCTGGGGCTGTAGAATCAGTTCTTTCTGATGTTGCTGTTCACCAAATCACGAAACCTCTGTAAGCTTTATCTCCCTTGGCTGTACAGTGTTAAGAAGTACCTCTCTCCCTTTTGCAGGGGACGGGAAGCTGAAACGCAGCTGACTTGTGGCCCTGTGCAGCTAACCCTTCTCTCCTGGGAATCTCAGCTTGGAGCTAGTAGATATCTAGCCCCAGAGCTCCTGGTGACAGGTCTTTCTTTCCATGAATGAGAGGAGACAGAAAGGGAGGGAAGCCGACGAAGTCTGTCTTTGAGAAACTGCACAGAGGTCTTTTCAGGCTCCTTTATCCTGTGATTGATTGTCAGCACTGTGGGCCCCACCTGTGGCAGCAGATAGGCTGACCACACTGCGTAGGCTTGCTCCTGTGGTCTGAGGGGACAACAGCAGGCCTTCCTGCAGTCCTCTCCTCAGGGGCCAGCAGGGAGAGAGGGATAGGCTTTGGCAGTGAGGATCAGGTTAGAAGGCAGGAGATCCAGGTGTCCCTGATGGATGGTGGGGCTGTCTCAGCTGAGAAACTGCCCTGTGCCTGCCACTCAGTCGCCAATGCTTGGTTGCCATCTGTGCACTTTGGCAGGGAAACCCTCAGGGAAGAGGAGGAGAAGAAAAAGGAGCTCTCTCACCCAGCCAACTTCGGCCCTCGAAAGTACTGCCTGCGGGAGTGCATCTGTGAAGTGGAAGGGCAGGTGCCCTGCCCCAGCCTGGTGCCATTACCCAAGGAGATGAGGGGGAAGTACAAAGCCATTCTGAAAGCCAGTGCCCAGGACTAAGGCCCATGGTCACTGTGGGCTGGGGTGATGGTGTCTGACCAGTGGGAATATTGGAATGGGATTACTCTGGCCCAGGGAAGCCCCTGGTTCTGTCCCTGGAGACTCTGGAAATCCTTTTGCATTAAAAGGACTTTACACACCTGTGTAAAAGGACATGGGAGAGGAGGGTCTGAAGCTGAGCGCTAAATGAATATCCCTGCTCCACTGGTCAATAAAACGCTTCCTAACAGCAGCTTGGTGTGTATCTGGTCCTAGTCAAGAGGAAGGCCTGTGTAGTAGAAAGGCTTTGGGCCTGGGAGGTTAAGGCCACAGCCTGTTGACACCTGTTTTGGTCCTGTGTCGCTTTACTGGTCTCCACTGGCTTTGAATCTTCCTCTGGGCCCTACTCTGGAGAACATCAGGGTTGCTGTGGTTGAGTCTGGCTAGCACTGTCTGTGGTTGGCAGTGCGGACACCCCTCTATTCAGTTCCTTGGGTATTTTTCAGAAATCCAAAGGCAACCCTTTGTGCACCGCTCACTTTTGTAAGTATAATTGATGACCCTTGCCTGCTGGGGAGCCTAGCCATGGGCCAGAGATGGAAGAGCCCCAGTGGCTGACAGGCCAGCCTCACCCAGGCACGTACCTGCTGACCAGTACCTGCTGACTGCCAGCCTGTGGCCCAGCCACTGTGTGCATTAGCAGGGAGGTTTGTAGGCCTTGGAGGAAAGGAGGAGACACCACCTGGTGGCCACATCGGGGCCTGCTGGGGGGATGGTGTCTATAGCTGGTCACCTGGCTCTGCTGGCTCCCTCAGGCCCTGCTTACCAAGCTCTGGAGGCGGGAGTGCTGCATTACTGAGCACCTTCCTTGTTCTTTCCTCATAGGACACTGATGTTACTGTCATTGTAGTTATGCTAAAGTGGAGGTTTCAGCCTCCAGAAGACAGCAGAGCCCTCTAGGGTCACCTTAAGAATAGGTTTAGCAAGGCTGGGTGTGGTGGCTCATGCCTGTAATCCCAGCACTTTGGGAGGCTGATGTGGGTAGATCAGTTGAGCCCAGGAGTTCGAGACCAGCCTAGGCAACATGGCAAGACCTTGTCTCTACAAAAAATACAAAAATTAGCTGGGTGCGGTGTTATATGCGTCTGTAGTTCCAGCTATTTGGAAAGCTGTGGTGGGAGGATCTCTTGAGCTTGGAAGGTCAAGGCTTCAGTGAATCATGATCATGTGCTACTGCACTCCAGCCTGGGCCACAGAGCAAGACTGTCTCAAGAAAAACAATTTTTTAAATAGGTTTAATGATAAAGTGAAGGACCAGTTGGACCATGGCCCCCTAGAAACTCAACCAAGGAGACTTGACTTGTATCTGATACAAGGCGGCAGTGGTTAAAAGAATTAAAAAAGGACGGTGGTGCTTGGAAGAGCAGAACCAAAATTTTCACTCCTCTACCTACTAGGGCCTTGGCCAAGTCTTAAAGCTTTCTGGGTCTGTAACTGGTTTTGTCTGTAAAATGGGGAAAAGGCTACCTTTTCTGCCACATGAACTAGCCGCCTAGTGAAATGATGTCATACTATAATGTGTTTCATTAACTAACTGTTGGAGATTATCACATTAAATTGATCAGATTTGGGTCTTTTACATTTGATGCTCAAGTTTGATTCTGTACCAGACCTGTGTTCGGGGTGATGGCTTGTCAGGGGTGGGAGGGGAAGGTGGGCAGAGACTGATGTATAATGGACAGGTGTTCCTTGAGTGACCACAGACTTACAAAGGGAGTGTTTAATTGCAATCTCTGCCATCAGCATTTTGGCTGGGTGGAAAAAGCTCTCCTCCACTCAGAGCCCTCCCATGTCTGCTGGTTTCAGTTCCCCACCCAACTGACTGAAGTCTTGACCTTGCCACTAGCTGCCTGGGCATTCTACTTGGCTGCAAGGGCTCTTTAGAAAGCACCTAGTTCCTTTTGGCTTTCATCTGCAGTTTAGGTCTCCATAGCTAGTGACACAGAAAGCCTTATGAAAGTATTCCTTCCCTCTAGGGCCCAAAGAGGCTACTCACCAGCAGGAATGTCCTGAACCAAAGGAGTGGTGACCCTTCTCTAGACAGAATAAATGTCTGGTCCCTAATGGGACAGAAAACTAGGGTTTGAGTTCAGGCTTGACACAGGAGTGATGGGCAGTAAGGTGGACGACCCAGACCCAGAAGGGACATGTGTGGAGACAGCAACATTCCTGTGGTGCAGTTACTGCTTGTGTGGCCAGCTTCACAGGCAGCAGATAATTTGTGGAAGTAACATTATTTTCTTTTTTTGTCCCCTGTAGGCTACTTGATCCTGGATAGTTTCTCTTTAAACCTTTGTCTTTCCCTATTTTGTTTAGTAGTGATGGAAGATGGGTTTAAAATATACAGAAATGGGAGAAAATTAGAGAAAATATGAAGATTTTATAATTTATACATGTTCTTAATTTTATTTGCACAAGCAGTGTTCACAGCCTTACTTTTCTGAAGTGACCACTTTTATTCTCTTTGAGGCACTACCTGGCAGCACCATCTAAACCTGTATCTGCTGTGGTCCCAGTTACTCAGGAGGCTGAGGCAGGAGGATCGCTTGAGTCCAGGAGGTTGAGGCTGCAGTGAGTCATGACTGTACCACTGCACTCCAGCCTGGGTGACAGAGTGAGGCCCTATCTGGCTGCCAGTGAGTTCTGTTGTACATCAGACTTTGGACCTCAGAATTTTCACCTGGAACATGAGAGGTCAGATGACATAATGAGTATGTTCTAACTAACTTTTGAAACTTCTGGAGCTTTTTTTTACTCTTGATAGCACGTATCCTTAAAGAACAAGCTTGTCAGTTTAAGGCCTGTCTGTAATGGCATCTGGTGGTCCAGCAGCCTAACGGTGCTCTGCTCCAGAAACATCTGTGTGGCTTCCCTACCCCTACACCAAGGAGCTGCCCTGCTGGGTGGATGTAAAGACTGTTCTGCCAGGGTTTCCCACTAAAGGTATTAACAAGTCACGTGGACCACAGAGGGCCCAATCCCCCTTGGCCGCTAAGGCTAAGGTTGGAGCCGGAGAGCTGTAGGGACCGGACCACCAGGATGCTTCATCTCCACAAAGGAGAGTGCCGCACTGTCTGGGGGCCGGGCGTCACTACTATCATGAAGAAAAATGAGAAGCAGGATGCATGTTAGTCTTTAATTCACTTTTAATAGTATAAACCTCATTTAGGTAGTAGTATTAAGCCACAACAATAATGCCACATTGAAATAGCATTTAATAAAATGCATAAAGCTAATTCATGCACTGCAATACTCTATATACAAACACAACAATGCAAATTCTTCTTCAAGACTGAAGACATTGATTAGATATAAAATTCAGTTTAAAAAGAACATGCTATTTTTTAAATGCCATCACATAAACAAAGTGATTTCACAGGGAGAAGAAAGCTGTATAAAGCTACAGCTTTCAACAGGTTTTAAACCTGGCATTAAAATGTAATGGCAAAACCAATATTTTCTATATTGTGAAGGGCAAAGGTTACAGAAACGGTCCCAAGAAAATCTAACACCCAAATTTTCCTTTGATAGATAAGATGCCTTTAAAAGGGCTGGTAATGCAGTTGCATTCTAACAGAGAAGTCCAAACTACAGGTAAAAACTACGGCTTGTACTGTGAAAAATGTGCAGCTTTTCAGTTATAAAACTAGTTGAACACTGGTTTATAAGACAATCCGTAGAACAGAGAGACTGTAGAAAAATATTCCAGCACTTGAGTTGTGTGTGGCAGCAGCATTTGAGTCCATGAATGCTATGGTCGTTAAAATAACTGATTATACTTTCCTAAAGAAAAGCCATTTTTTAATGCAAAGTCTACTACTTCCAAATGTTATTCCAAACATTAAATTTTAACAGTCTATCAATCAATAAATGTTGAACATTTTTTTCTATTTTGCATGTATAAATATCAAGACGCCAAAATTATTTATAGCTGGGCATTAAAAAATCTGACATTTTTCTCCCCCCAAAGATACTTTTCTTAAGCTCACACTTTGTTTTTAGACTGCTGTTAAGATAAATAGCCCCAAAGGAAACTTTTTATTTTAATTCATTTAGAGACTGTCAAGTTTCCAATTGCATTTTAACTAGAAAGCCACTTTCAATAGCGTGATTGTCACGACAGGCTGTAACAGGGAAAGGTCGCACAATCTTGTGGGATGAGGCCAGTGAAATAGAAGCTTTCTCTACATCAAAAACAGGGAAGCTGAAAGCTAAATGACCCACCATCTCACAAAAGGCACTGAGTACTATGGTCTCATAAAGTGTTTTTAAAACATTTTGATAACTTATTTTAAAAAGAAAAAGAGTAACCTGTGGATTATGTGAGTTTTTGCAGCGATCCAGTGATTCTTTCCAGCAGGCCCCTGCTTCCCAGTTCTATGAGCAACTACTGCTGGGCCAGGCCCTGGCTCTCGAGGGCTGAGTTTCAGTTTAAGGCCAGATTAAGGGGGAAAATTCATCCGAATAGACCTGGACAAGGAAAATTTGGTATCTGTAGCTTTTAAGGGCACATACATCCATAATAAAATGCAATTCTTATCTGAAAATTTAAAATCATAATTTATAGAAACGAGTTAAAGTCTGTGGATTTCATTCACATGCTTACTGTTAAGAGAAGTAACTTGCTATTTGTAGCTTATATGCCGCAAAAGTTAGCCATCAACATCCATGCTTAGTTTTAAAGAATAATACTTGGTAGGTTGTTTACTTTTAACTGGGGATAGAGAGATGGAAATTACTATTTGTTCAGTCACAGGACAGTGCCCCAAATCTTGCTGACTGAGCACAGAGCAAGCCTGGGAAATTATTACCATCTTTGGGAGTCAGGCCTCACTGACACAGACCGTTCTGAATCTCTGACCGTGACGCCTGTCTCTGGGCTACTCAACAGAGCTGAATAGCTGGGAAGGCTGACGGCTCAACCCAACTGCCAAGTCCCTTCCAGGTAGTGCCATGAACAGGTGCACGAAAAGGTTAAAAATTCCCACGTAGTTTTAGATATTAAAACTGTCTTCCAGCTTCCTGGCTCTTGTCTGAACCTGGAGAATACAGGGAAATGTCACCCTGTCAGAACCTCTTCTGCCTGGAATTCTTCCTTTTGCAGAGTGGAGATTCTGACTTCATGGCCCTTCCCAGGCAGGCTCACCCAAAGGAAAATGGAGTGAAGAAAATCACCAGCAAATCTTCCCTGCTGAGGGACCTTGCAACACCCACATTAGTTTACATTAGCAACTTTATCAAAAACTCTCTTTAGAACATAAGGAAAGTCTGGATACATGTCTGTATACATAATATACATCTATGTACACATACACACACTATATACACTGTACATAGAGAGAGGATATAAACACATGTACATTCATTCAGTCTTACAGCCTAAAAACCTGTACACGCACGACGCTGCTGAAGGGACCCAGGGCCGGACATGCGAAGTGCACGCTGGTGGGAGGCACACAATGAGAAGGTCCAAACCCTGCGTACAAAAGACCCAAACCAACCCTGTCTTGATGAGAGGCTGGCTTTAAAAATTTACATCAAAGTTAAGACATTTTCAAAGAGCCACATAACCGAGAGAATGGAAGCTGGATAAAGGAAGCACGTGGGGCGTCTGCTCTGCTGGCTCAGGCATTCCCAGGGCCTAGTGGGCACTGCCCTCCCTGGGAGAAAAGTGGCTATCAGATGATGAGACTTTCCATGACCTGGACTAAGAGAAGAGTTAAAATGTTACCAATGACCCCATTGCACGTAAAGTCATTTACACTAGAAAGTGGGCAACAAACTTCCGGACTCCAATGAGATCAGGTTCCAGAACATGGATGTACAGACATGGCATGAACTACTGATTGTGGCCAGGGGCTGGAAGCCCTGCAGAGGGCGGGCTGTGAGCAAGAGTGCTCTGCAGGAAATATCCTCAAAGGACTATGAAAGTAAAAGCACTAGAAATAGCTAGAGTCCTTAGAACTTTTTGTTCCTTGCCGTAACTATCCCCCAAACAAGACAGACAGCTAAATACGTGTGTAGCGTGGATATTGCCTTGAGATTAGGGAGCCAAACGCATCCACTGTTACCACCATGGCTGGTGTCCTAACTGCCTCAGAAGAGTCCACATTCAATACTGACAATGACAAGCTAAAAATCAGTCCCTCTTGAGGGCAATTACACATCTTAGAAGTGACTACACCTGAAATTAAATATAAAGCCCAGAACAGCAAAAGAACCTCAAACCACAGCCTTATGGCAAGGATTAGACAATAAATAATGTAACCCCTCAGGACACACATAGAAATGTCAAATTAGGAGAGTATGGTAGGTAACATACTTCCTTAAAAACACCTTCCAGGAGTAACTTGAGGTGACAGCATGTGTCTGTCCCACCTCTCTGAGCCAGCTACCTCTCCTCACTGAGGGAGGAGCGACCAGGCCAGTAGAAGAGGGAGCATGACATGGCTCCGTGGAGTTCAGCAGCCAGAGGACAGGTCTCACTTCATGAAACCCAAAGTTTCACAAACTGCTAACAAGGGCTATAAGCCCTGTGAAAGCTGGAGCCCAAATATTTGGTTTGCATCTCTTTAAGTAATTCTTGACTTTGGGCTGACTTTCCTTAACCAACCTGATGGGAGATGAAATGGACCTGCAGTCAAAGGCTTGAAATGAGTTCAAGCAACAAGAATTCAGGTTATGCGGACATGATCCTTAAAGAAAAGGCCACTTCAAAGTAAAGCCAAGAGGATCTCTGAAACCAACCAAGAGGTGTTCAAAGCCAAAACAGTCCCTGGAATCAGCCATCACCAGCAAAGGGACTGAAAGAGCAGGCCCAGGTTAGAATCAGCACCTTTCCAAGCAAAATCATGTTTTCTGCAAGGCTATTGCACCAGAGCCCAACACTTCCTCATCCAACGTGAGTCTAAGAGGCCTACTGGCTGCCACTGAATGACCTGGGAATGAGAGGAGGGGCTGGTGGAGACCTTTTCACCAACACCAAGAACTGGGATCTGAAAGCTATTATGCTTGTATTCCCAGGGAACTGCAACATGGCCCTCATGGTCACTCTCAAGAATCAAAATGACGGAAGGCAGGCAACAATCTGTGTTAGAGGCACGGCTGAGCTTCAGAATGCCTGCTACTAAAATCCTTCACAAACAAGAAATGAAACAAACCTGCCCTAATTCCATTGTCTCAGCTGGTTTTTTGTCTTAATTTTGAAACTGAAAACATCAGGGTTAGAAAAGTAAAAAATTACTTTAAGCTGGCAAAATTAAATCCTTCCCATCATTTTATAATGGCCACCCCCACTACTCCCCAGAATTTGTTGCCACGGCAAGAATTATAAAATGATATAATTAAATCCAAATAAGAATTTAGAAGTTGGAGACACTGTTCTCACTTACCCTACTAACAATGACTTGCATAAAGTGCTGCTAACCCTTCAGGATCAAGCATCCTGTTCTGCCTTGAGCCTGCGGCAGCTTCCATTCTGTCCAGTGTAGCTCCACAGGGGCATCTGTAGCTGGTTAGACTGCACCCCTGTGGAGCACATGTGTGGCACCAGCCTCAGCCAGATCAGAGCCCCTGTGAGGCAGGGGAGTGTCCAGGGATCTTTTTGGATATCATCTGATTAACAAATCAAGAGGGGCAAATTTAACCCAACAGGGTATATTTTCTTAATCTGGACTATTTAAAAAGAAAAGACAAAGCAATTGACCTGGTCTTCCACATGCCACTTTTCTCAAACAGGAAAAGCTTGCTATACATTCACATCCATGGGAATTTATGGGTGTTTGCAGTTAGACATAACTGCCTTTTAAGCACGTATTCTGTTCTTGCTATAAACTCTGGTTGCTATAATTTATGAGGAGAAAGACGATCACTGTGGAAATTAAAGGTTGTTTTTAAGGAACAAGCAGTCTGCATTTAAAATGCTCCAGGGTAGTCGGCAGGCACACACCTGGGGGAACCAAAGTGCAGAGTGCTGGGAACATTAACAGACTTGCCAGCAGAGATGCCAAGTCTACACACATTTTAAAAATCTCTGGTATTTAAGGTCAACAGGAAGAAACTGTCCTGAAACCTTCCATCCAGCTTTACCAGGCCCTGACCACTCTGGCCAGCCCCACAGTTCTGATGGAGCTGCAGAAACACAAGTCCTTTTCAAGGGGGCATTTGGAGTGGAAAGCCCTGGGAAGGTAACCCTCACACTCCAAGGCCACACTCCTCCATCTGGACAAACACGCAAGCACCCCCAATTGTATTAGAAGTACTGTCAAGGGCTCAAAATGCCCACCTTGCGCTTTTTGGTCACAAGGCTCCATCTGCCACGAGCAGTGGATGTGACCTGGGGATGTTTTCACTTGCTGGAGGAATTGTATATCTCATTTGGCAGTTAATGTCTGACTAGTTGCAATCCAATTCAGATAACCAGTCATCAGAGGAGAACCCCAGGTTCTAGAGGAGTCTGCAGATGCCCATCAGAGACCAGGACCAAGTAGTCAGGGAACCTGACAAGTGTCTGCTCTATGGCTAGAAGCTTCTGGACTGGGTCACCACCGACTGTGCTACCACACTCCCACTTACTGCATGATGCAAATGAGCCACGTTTCCATTCACAGAATTCAGCTCAACTCCACAACATGTGCACACAATTAGGAATGATGCCTTCTTTTCTTAAACATAAATGATTGTCTCCTGTACCCTAGTGAATTTTCACAGAAACCATTAGCATTTCGGCAAAAGACATATACAGTTTTCCATTTGCCCTGCCCACAGGCAAGATGTTGCTAACATTACACATTGATAAGTGCTTAGAAAGTGCTAATATTATTACCCTGGTAATTAGTATCTATAATTCCAAGGACATTTTTTATATATATATATACACACATACTATTCTCTTAGGTTCTTTCAGTTTTCTTTAATACTAGTCTCTGACGTTATAAAACCTTTTTTTTTTTTGTTTTTTGCCCTTTGAGAATTTCTAAATACAAATTGAGTTAAAAGATTGCTCCAAAATCTGCTGCTTCATCAAAAGGCATTAAAACATTTTTTATGTCAGGAAAGGATCCTACTAGTCTTTTCATTGCCATTGTCTGGGATTAACAGATAAGAAGAAACCAGACAGGAAACGGCTAACATATGGAAATATTTGCACATACCAAAATACCACTACTTTTCTTTTCTTTGTATGTGAACGGTCCCGGTAGGATTCTGTTGCTCCTTGGCAGATGTGTGGTGTGTACTATAGACTGGCTCCGGTGATCTGGCCATTATACTCTGCTGTCTCCATCTTGAGGATGTAGGGGATTATGCTGTCTATCGAAACATTGCCAATGAGGCCAGTAAAAAAAAGTTCTTCTGTTATGTTGGAGCTCATCAGCCTGAGTGCCGGCAGGCGAACGAGGATCCGGGCCAATCTGTAAAAGGGAGCGTCATTAGAAAAGGAGACTGTTTGATGCCCTTCAACCACAGCTCAGCACAGGCTCCTGGGGCCCTGTCTGTATTGCACAGAATCAAACCAAATGGATCCACCATGCACCCACCTCTTTTTTCTGATTTCAACAGTTCCTCTAATAGAAATTTATCATGAGAAAAAAACCAAACGAGTACAAAATGTATGTACAGATATGTTCCCTTCACTCTTGTTTATTCCAACTCTCCTCACCCCCACCGAAAAGAGAAAACCTGGAAATTCATCAGCAGAGGACAGGTTAAAATAAACTAGGAGTCTTCATATGATGAACTGCTAAAGACTCATTTAAAAAATGATAATACAAATCTGTATTTACTGATCAGGAAAGACATCCATGACATATTGCTCAATAAAAATTTAAAGGAGATTATAAAACAGCAAGTATAGATGTGTACATAAAGTACTGGGAAAATGTTCACCACAATGCTAACAGTTGGGCTCTAGGTATTGGGATTTGAGGTGATTTTTTCCTTATTTTTTGTACTGCCCTAATTTTCAGTGTCCCTTTAGCATTATAAATAAAGCAGTGAAACAGCTTTCATTTTGAAGAAACTTGGGGTGGAGGGTGCACCATGACACTGCCCTGGAGGGCCACTGAACACTGTGTATCTCAAGTGTCCCATGTGACCAGGCCATTTCCCAGCCAGGACTGCATCCCAGGCGAACAAGTGAAGCATGTGCCAGGATGCTACTGCAGAGTCATGTGACAGCCCAAACTGGAAACACCCTACCGTTTCATTAGCAGGGAAATAGGAACCACAGAAAATGAAGAAGAGTATGTATTGTTATTGTATATTACATGAAAAAAGGTTACAAAACCTTTGGTATTTTATGATCCCAATTATAATACATAAAAAATTTCTGGAAGTGAATACGCAAAATGTTAATAGTAGGTATCTCTGGATAGTGCTTTTTTTGTTTGTTTTTGTTTTTTATTTTGAGACAGCGTCTTGCTCTGTCATCCAGGCTGCAGTGGAGTGACGTGATCACAGTTCACTGCAACCTCAACCTCCCAGGCTCAAGTCATCCTCCCACCTCAGACTCCTGAGTAGCTGGGACTACAGGTGCACACTACTACATCTGGCTAATTTTTCATTTTTTTCTCGTAGAGATGGGGTCTCACTATGTAGCCCAGGGTGGTTTCAAAGTCCTGGGCTCAAACAATCTTGCTGCCTCAGCCTCCCAAAGTGTGGAAATTATAGGTGTGAGTCACCATGCCCTGCATGCTTTTTTAAAAAAAGTTTTTTAATAGTGCTTTTTAAAAAGTTTTCTCTTTCTAGAACATTCTAAGTTTTTCTACAGTGAATACTACTTATTTTTAAAATGGGAAAATGTATTCATACTACGCAGGTAGCATTCCAGCATCAGCATCCATTCACTCAGCCACAATGAGTCACTGTGCTCCAATCTTGCAGGGCACACAAAGGTGTAAGAGACCTGCCATTTCAGCTGGGCCTTAGGGGCTGGCTAAGATTTCTATCAGCAGAGATACAAAGAATGGGGAGGGATGGGAGGTATTTCAGGAGGAATAATCAATATGAGAAAAGGCACAAGGATGGGGAAGAGTCAAAAATGGATATTCCAGATAGTAAATACCAAGATAAAGAAAAAAATGAATATGCAAATAGCATGTAAAACACTCTAGGGCCTTTTCTTTGAGAACTCTCTCTGAGTGAATTTCTGAGCCCTATAAGAAAGCCTCCCTTATCATTTTGGGCTCCAAGTAACCTGTCATCACCCTAACCAACCCTGGGTCCCTGACTGGACAGGAGTGACTCATGTTTTCAGACACATTATATCTACTTTCCAAGGCAACAGAATTGCTGATGTTAAAGTGATTCTAGAGTGTGCTGTGGCTCTGTCAGCAGCCCCAGAGGGCCATTTCCAGCCATCTTTTGGTCATGGGAACTGTGGGTGAGCAGGCCTGTGGCCTCCTAGGAGGACAACCTGACTGCACACTTGGCTAAATGTATAAATTCTGGTTGTGGGTGCATTCCCTGACAGTCCCATTCTCTATGTATTGAGGCTGAAGTTATTCTAGATTCATGATGAAGTCTTCGATGATTCCAGTAGAAAATGGATCTTGCTTTTGTAAAAGCCACATCTGGGCAATAGAAGTATGCCAAAAGGAGAAGCAGGCTCTTGTCTACCAGCAGGACCAGTCAGCCATAAGACACCCCCAGTCACACCAGAGAAATGGCTGGGACTGTCCTTGTTTTAGCGCTGAAAGACTAAGAGCTGGTTACTCTGCTGGGGGGCAAAATCATTTCTTTTGAGAAGCACTGGGCCAGAAGGGGTAGCCCCCAGGGGCATCTCTGTTCCATGGGGCTCCTGGAGACTGAGGTCTGTGCAGAGGACACACGTCTGGGGAAGGTGGGCCCGTGTGTCTTCCCAGGCTGTCAATTTTGTTCCAGTGTTTATTTTAGGGGGACATGGTGGGGAGGGAAATAGAAAATACTTTACTTGAAAGGGTCTCAGAAATTCATGTAGCTTCTGGTGGGTCAGAAGTTGTCATAGGAAAGCACTCTTCCATCTTTGGCTGGAAAGCCTGCCAATGCATTCTGACCTTTGGCAGATCTGAACAATTTTCCTGCCTAAAACGGCATGAGAAAGGCTTTTTTTTTTTGAGACGGAGTCTCACTCTGTCGCTCAGGCTGGAGTGCAGTGGCATGATCTCAGTTCACTGCAACCTCTGCCCACCCCGCCAGGTTCAAGCGATTCTCCTGCCTCAGCCTCCCCAGTAGCTGGGATTACAGGCGCCTGCCACGGTGCCCGGCTAATTTTTTTTTTTTTGTATTTTTAGTAGAGATGGGGTTTCACCATCTTGGCCAGGCTGGTCTTGAACTCCTGACCTCGTGATCCACCCGCCTTGGCCTCCCAAAGTGCTGGGATTACAGGCGTGAGCCATCACACCTGGCCCTAATTTTTATACATATATTTTTGCTGCACATTAATTACAAATACTACCACTAATTTTCACCCAAATAAACTTTTTTCCATCAGTTTATCTGAGGGCAAAATGACTTTATGTAACTCATCCACTCTTTTATGGGGTCAGATTTGATTTCTGTCAATAAGAACTTTTCTGTCAAGTACTCTAGCACTGCCTCTTCAATGGATGCTGACCAGAGAAGCAGACCTGTCAAACTATTCTGGACAAGGGAATCTCCATGAGAACTCAAGCCTCATGTACAGTGTTAGGCCTAGAACAGGCCATGTAGCATCTGCTCCAACTCCTCCAATTAAAGAGTAGCAATCTGAGGCCTCGCTCACAGTCACACAGCAACACTGGAATCAGCCACAGTCTTGGCCCTCCTGCTGGCACCGTCTACACTCTACACCACCTTTAGCATTCAAGAATTATCTCTAGCTCTTGGGAGCTAGGAAAAAACAAAGAAAACTCAAGAATTAGAGTGTGATCCACTGGAGGCTCTATCAGGCTGCTAAAAATGGAAAGGTTAACATAATTTATATTAGAAACTACAAACCCAGCCACATTCCTTGCGGCCCCAAGCAAGAGTGCATGCCTGAATGCCTCACCGGTAGGTGTCTTCCGAGTAGGTTTTCTGAACATAGTCCTGCAACTCCATCTGTGCCTTTTCTTGGAATTTTTCAATCTGGCTTGTGCTGGTCAAACCTGGATGATCTGAAAACAGAAAAGTACCCCCCCCCCCAATTCCCTTTGTATTTGAAAAGTCTCATTTGCAGACTTCTTAGTATTTTTAGTCAAACGTCTGCAAACTTCTTAAGTATAACAAATTGAACTCAAAGACTGATCTAATTTGGGTATTATTAGAACGCTGGCTTTTCCTCTGTTTTCTGCCCAGGCCTGAAGTTCCTGGGAGGGGGTTGGGGACCCTGAGTGGATGCCAGTCTGAGCAGCCCCACATGGATGGTTCTGGACATCTGGCTTCCTACTACCTTAGAAAATACAGTTTTTAAAACTATCGCATAAAATTAGAAATTGTCATTTACTTTGTAAATATTTAATTATATAATTTGTCCCAATTTTACTAGCTATTTTGTTATTTGTGAGTGGAGGGCTGGGAAAGAAGAGAAAAAGGTTAAGCTGTGTCCAACCCCTACTGTGAGGTGAACGATGAGCCTAAGTAACTTTTCTAGAGGCCTTGAGAGGAGTGAGGCTGCCTCTTCATCTCCTGTGAACATACCTTTTAGCATGCTCTGCAGCAGCTGCTGCTACTGCTATACACAGTCTGTGGGCAAACAGGTGGAGCTTCACTGTGTACTGGATTATATGCGCTAACAAAGCTTTGAAACTGGCAAAGGGCCAAAAAAAAAATAAATAAATAAAAAGAAAGGACATCGGGTGGTAGCACACTTTTGTTTTATATGGTGTAATCTTGTTTGGCCAATGGTTTCATTAGGACACAGATTAAATCTATTCAGTGTGTGACATCATCAGGCACTGCAGCATATTTCTTTGGGGCTATAAAAGCAAGAATTTAAAAACGTTTATGTATTTATCTAGCAAAACACCTATCATAAGAACACTAGGTCACATATAATCTGCAGGCCTCTTTCTACACCACTGATGGCAACATGTTCATGTTCAGAAACATCAGTAGATACAGGTGGAAAAGGGTCATGCGTCCCCACCGCATATCTTACCGGGGCTAAAGAGAACTATAGCTTTAAGGTATGCATACTCATAGCCATCTATATCCAGCTTCGCCATGCTGTTACAGAACTCCTGCAGCTTCCAGATGTGCTCCATGACTTGCTTTATCCGGTCACCAGAAAGTTTATCTAGAAACCAATATCACAGATCCTCTGAGAAAGGCTGGTAAGAACAATAAAACCAGCTTATTTGAGGGACCACAGATGGAAAGAAATGGGACCATTTCACTTTTTAATGAAAAAGCAGTAATCTCAAGATGAACAAGAGCTTCATTTTCCAGCTGCAGGTGAAGTGACAAGAGGTACCCAAATTCTGCTCCAATATGGGTTCTGCCTCAATAACGAACTCCTAGACCAGTGATTCTCCCTAGCCCTGCTGCCAGGCAGCTGGCCTGTAGGTGTACATTGTGAATTCCTTTTATTCTGTACCTGAATAATAATTTCTTTATTCTGAAGACTCACAGAATACTTGGTTAGGTTTTTTAAGTCTCTGCAGGCACCTGAACATTAAATGCTGGTAATTTTTAGTTATCAAAACAATTTTTTTTTTGAGTTGGGTGTCTTACTATGTTGCCCAGGCTGAACTTGAACTCATGAGCTCAAGTGATCCTCCCACCTCAGCATCCTGAGTAGCTGGGACTACAGGTGTGCATCACCATGCCTGGCTTCAGAACAATTTTATATATTTCATTTAATCCTCATGACACAATACTGGCAGTATTAGTAGTATTATTCTCAGTTAAAAAAACTGGCTAGTTGTGGTGGCTCATGCCTCTAGTCCCAATGTTTCAGGAGGCCAAGGCAGGAGGACTGCTTGAGGCCAGGAGTTTGAGACCAGGTTAGGCAACATCATGAGAGTCTGTCTCTACAAAACAACAACAACAACAACAACAAAACACCAACACCAAAAAACAAAGAAAACTAAAGCTCATTTGTGAACAAATCTTACTTCAATAAAATGTTGTAAGGGTTTTTTGTTTTTATTTTAAGTCTCACTCTGTCCCAGGCTAGAGTGCAGTGGCACAATCTTGGCTCACTGCAACCTCCGCCTCCCAGGTTCAAGCGATTTTCCTACCTCAGCCTCCCAAGTAGCTGGGATTACTGGCACTCACCACCACATGTCCGGCTGATTTTTGTATTTTTAGTAGAGACAGGGTTTCACCATGTTGGCTAGGCTGGTCTTGAACTCCTGACCTCAAGTGATCCACCTGCCTCAGCCTCCCAAAGTTCTTGGATTACAGGCGTAAGCCACCACACCCAGCCTGTTATAGGGTTTTTAAAACTTCACCCTTACGTAAGTATTCCAAGGAAATAACTAGAAAAACAAATGTATGACTAGGTCACTCACATTCCTAGATATCAGATACCCGGAATGCCCAATTAAAAGTGAAGTTCCAAGCCTAGGCAGCATGGCGAAAACTCATCTCTATAAAAAAAATATAAAAATTAGCTGAGTGTGATGGCACATGCCTGTAGTCCCAGCTACTTGGGAGGCTGAGGCAGGAGGATCACTTGAGCCCAGGGGTTCAAGGCTGTAGTGAGCTATGATTGCCACTGCACTCCAGCCTGGCAACACAGAGACTGTATCAAAAAACGAACAAACAAAAAACAACAATACTTTCCACTTCAGCTACAAGTGTAGATTTTCAGTGTTACTTTGAATTCTGGGCATGACAGCGGTCTTCAGAGTGTCGCAGACATGCTACACATGGAGAGACTACAACGGCTACCTCCTATTCCTGACACTGCTGGTGTTTTGAACACCAAATACTAGATAGTTGCCGCAGATCTCACTAGAAAAGTCATTTGTTCATTCTTAAGGAGCAGCCTGGGTGAGGTACATATGTTCTGTACTAGGGGGGCAGCATGATGCAGGTCTGTGCCCTAGTTTTTTGTTTTTTTTGTGTGTTTTGAAACAGTCTCGCTCTGTCACCCAGGCTGGAGTGCAGTGGCGTTATCTCAGCTCACTGCAACCTCTGCCTCCTGGGTTCAAGCGATTCTCATACCTCAGCCTCCTGAGTAGCTGGAATTACAGGCATGCGCCACCATGCCTGGCTCATTTTTTTTTTTTTAGAGACAGAGTTTCACTCTGTTGCCCAGGCTGCAGTGCAGTGGCACGATCTTGGCTCACTGTAACCTCCGCCTCCCAGGTTCAAACAGTTCTCCTGCCTCAGCCTCCCGAGTAGCTGGGATTACAGATGCCCACCATCACGCCTGGCTAATTTTTTGTATTTTTAGTAGAGACAGGGTTTTGCCAGGCTGGTTTCAAACTCCCGAGCTCAGGCAATCCACCTGCCTCAGCCTCCCAAAGTGCTAGGATAACAGGCATCAGCCACCGCACCCGGCCTTTTTTTATTTTGTATTTTTAGTAGACAAGGGGTTTCACCATGTTGGCCAAGGCCAAGCTGGACTGTCCTGACCTCCGGCGATCCCGTCTTGGCCTCCCAAAGTGCTGGGATTACAGGTGTGAGCCACTGCACCTAGCCTGTGCCCTAGTTTTTGTATTTACTGTTTCATTTGGGGCAAGCCAGGGACCTTATCAGGACCTCAGTTCCTCCATATGAAAAAATGAGGTAATAGTCCCTACTTTATAGGGTTGTGAGGATCTGTGAACTATTAGACATGAGAAAAGTAACTTGTGAATGTCAATGAAGATGAAAATATCAGCTGTGATTATTCTGCAAACATTACTAAATGCCTAGCAAGAAGCTGACCTTTTCCATTTTTTTCTTCGTATTAATCGTATGAAGAAGACAGTTGGGCAGAAATTTACATATTCTAACTGATAAGCGTCCTGTAACATTCATTCATTCATTAAGATGAGATCTTGCTCTATTACCCAGGCTGGAGTACATGGAATAATTACAGCTCACTGCAGCCTCAAACTCTGGGCTCAAGCAATCCTCCTGCCTCAGCCTCCTGAGTATCTGGGACTATAGGCAGATGCCACCAGGCCTGGCTAATTTTTTGTACTTTTTGTAAAGACAAGGTCTCGTTATGTTGCCCAGACTGGTCTCAAACTCCTGGGCTCAAGTGATCCTCCTGCCTGGCCTAACAAAGTGTTAGGACTACAGGCGTGAGCCACCATGCCCAGCCCAAAGGTTCTATAACTTAACAGCCAAACTTCTCTCAGCCTATGGATGTTGTGGGACACTGAGGCTATCCAATTTGCTATGTTGCCAGCCTGGGTCGACAATGGTGTCTCTGACATGGGCCTTCAACCAGGGGCTAGGCTCTGCTCCACAGCCACAAGACTAGGCCAAGACACACCCCAGCCCCAAGTCCCTGTGCCCTACCTTCCTGGATGCTGTTCTGCAGGTGGTTGACGATGGCAGCCAGGATGGTGGAGAGACTCATGACCTGGGCACACTGGGCCAGGCCGAGGGTGAAGAGCTCATTCCAGCAGGCCCGCACCAGGCTGGTGTTGCAGTCCTGCCTAGGAATATAGAGAGGGGCCTGAGTGTGGTGTGTGCTGGCATTTCTCCAAGGTTGTGGGGCATCCAGGCACTAAGTCACAGCATTTCCCGAACAGATGAACTCAGTAAGTGTTTGTTGAAGTGCTATCCAGGATCATTCTTCAAGAAAAAGATGAAGTCTATGAATAAGTCTACGAATGTTTTAACTAAAGTCCTTCTAATGATCAACTATTCTCTTAAAAAACATCCTTTAAATAAAAAGTTTTAATAGGTATGGCCAAATCATCATTTCCTACAGTATTCTAAAGCCTCAGCATCCTGGATTGGCTCTGTCCCAGGAGATGGTATCAGTTACTTTGGTCCTGCAGCCAAGGTCACGAGAGGCTGTGGGGACCAAAAGACTAAGAGCTGAGTACAGATTCTGAAGGGCAGAAACATGCCCTCCAAACCTTGCAGGGAAGGAGGCAGGCTTTGTGCTGGATCCAAGACAGAAGCAGGGAGGATAAGGGTTCAGCTAAGGCCACTTCCAGCCCTGCCCTGGCTAATTTCTACTCAGGTTAGTCAGTAAAGTTGGCACATCACAAAACAATACATCCTTATTCTCAGAAACTCCTAAATTGCATTCCCTCACCTGTCTCAAGATTTCAGGAGGCTGGAGAAACTGGGCTGTTTTGACAAAGCTGTTTCCTCCAGTTGCCTTAAGTGTGGCCCAGCCAGAGGAAGGCAGTGAGAACCAAGACTGCTGCACTGTGTCATTCCCAAATGCCCCAGATGCACGTCTAGTATTTTACTATGATCACTGCCCTGAACAGTAACTTATGAAAAACAGTACATGAAATGTAACTGAAACCACTTTAAATGTGGTAGCTCATTTTATCTAGCCCGGACTGAGAAACTCCGTGGAGGAGGTTCCAAATTATCCAACTAGAAAAAGTACACTCAGGGCAGTGGGTGGATCATGTTTCAACCTCATTTAAAAAAATCTCAGGTACCTATCAGTACTATTAACTGTGGACTGTGGTGTTACTAAAAAAAAAAAAAAAAAATGAGGTTACACCACGTACCAGATACCAGCAAGGGGTAGGCAATTCTCCCAAAGAGCTAACAATGAAACTCCTAATATTTGTGTAGCAGTCACTACCTGTCTTGTTCTCCCTGGAGAATGAGACAATTCTGTCTGCCTTTCCTTTAATCATGGAGGGAGGTGACTATTCTAACTACTCAGGACACATCCCACACCACCTGACCCACAGAACCACACTGCCTTCTGCTGAGTCCCTTGCATGCCAGGCACTGGGTTAAAAGGTTTATAGATCTTAACTCCACGCAAGGATTCTACAACGAGAAACTGGAGGCTCAGAGAGGTAAAGTGACTTGCACAAGGCCACACAGCTGACAAGCGCTATTCTTATGCCCGACAACCAGGTCTGTTTGCCCCAAAGACAACAGTGTAAACTACTAGACAACACTGCCCTCCATTCTAGTGTTTTCCACATACTACCTAAGGATGGTTACTCTGCAATATGCAGTAACTCTCATTGCATTTCCATTTTTGTATGGTTACTTATCTTTCAACCAGACTGCCAGTCACCTGATGGCACGATGGCAGCCGCACCAGCTGCACAGCACTTGGCACACTGGCAGAGCCGATGATGGGATTTAGAGGAGAAACATATACAAGTGGTACTCCAGAAAGCAAGAAAAGGAGGGGGTTTCCTGTAGAGATGACACCAGGGTCTGTACTACTCAATGTGCCAGTTGGCACTGTGGCTTGTGTGAGATTGTAAATCCATGTTTGAGGAAACAGCTGATTCACATTCACCTTATTAAGGCCTAGGCACAGTTCCCGGCCTGGCTTCAGTTTGTGAGTCACACTGTGCATAGCACAGTGCTGGGGACTACCCCTTGCCTTCTACATTCTTCTCCATCCCCAACTCCCAGCAGCAAATCCTTGGTATATCTAGGAGGCTCCATAAAGGTTAGAGGAACACTGCAGAACTGGCAACTGGTAATCCTGCTACCAGTCCATTAACTATATTTAATAAGAAATTCAGGGTCCTTTGAATGAGGTCATCAGAACAGTCAAACTAGATGGGCCCTCAGAGTTCTTCCAGGTCATTCCTAGGGAGAGGAAGGCCCCTGCCCAAGGATACATGCACAGAAAGTGGCGACTTACCCAAGTGCCTGAAAGGCTGGGATTGACCGAGCCCAGTGCATTGAGAGGAAAAGCAGACGGGATGCAGACTCACAGATGTAGTGCACGTTGAGGTACTCTGGCATTGGGCTGGGCATTGTTAGCTGGAAAAGAGGAGGCACATGGCACAGGAGGTGAAGGAAGGACAGGGGATGGCTTTGTCTATCAACATGTATCCCTGTCGTGCTTCAACAGCAGTGGCATCTAGAGTCACTGTCTCTGATTCTGAAGTCCCATGCAGTCAGGGAGCTTGCACAGACTCCCCATGTTTTCTTGCTCAGTGAACTAGGGTCGAAAGGGCCTTGGAATGTGGTCCATAAGCCTAAGGGGATCTTCCTAGCCCACCCCCATAAAAACATACTCCTCAAGTCTTGCCTCAGCTAAACTGTTATTTGTTCTATGGCAATTCCATTTTGAGCCATAAGTTAAGGTCTAAATTAAATCTGGGGAACAGGGGCCAGGTGCAGTGACTCATCCCTATAATCCCAGCACTTTTGAGAGGCTGAGGCAGGCTGATCACCTGATGTCAGGAGTTCAAGACCAGCCTGGGCAACACAGTGAAATCCTGTCTCTATTAAAAATACAAAAATTACCCAGGTGTAGTGACGTGCACCTGTAGTTCCAGCTACTTGGGAGGCTGAGACAGAAGAATCGCTTGAACCCATGAGGTGGACGTTATGGTGAACCAAGATTGTACCACTGCACTCCAGTATGGGTGACAGTGAGACAGTCTCAAAAAAACAACAAAAAAAATCTGGGTAACCGGGGCCAACTTCATGGACTAGCAGGCATTTTGGGAGATGGTCTTAAGGTAGCAGTAACCAAGAGCCAAGCAGCTCACATGATAGGAGGATGATATCTCATGACTAGAATGTTGTGCAAGGCTCCAGGAATTCCATTGTCTAGAAGGGGCTCCAATGCTTTTGAAGCTGGAATCACACTGGTGACCTGTCTCTTAGGCACCTTTGGGAAACTATGAGCAGGGATCTAGCTTCCTAAGTGACTGGCCATATCTCTCTAGTAAAAATACTGGGTCAGGCACAGTGGTTCACGCCTGTAATCCCAGCACTTTGGGAGGCTAAGGTGGGAGGACTGCTTGAGGCCAAGTGTTTGAGACCACCTTGGGCAACTTATCAAGGACCCCATCTCTACAAAAAATAAAAATAAAAATTAGCTGGGCATGGTGGTACATGCCTGTAGTCCTAGGTACTTGGGAGGCTGAGGCAGGAGGATCACCTGAGCCCAGAAGTTTAATCCCAGGAGTTTGAGGTTACAGTGAGCCACAATCACATCACTACACTTCAGCCTAGGTGAGTATCCATAAAAAAAAATAAATAAAAAGAAGAAGGAAAAAAAAAAGAAAAAATACTGAGGGAACAGGAAGACTCAGCAGTCTGGAGACCTAGAGACTGAGAGAGCTTTGGGTGCCCTCTGAGTGTCCTGTAGAAAAAGCAAGACCAGTGAATGACAGCACGGGGAAGACCCGTGAGGTCTTAACAGCACTCTTCAAGGGATCTACTTTCTGTGGCTCTAGAGGGCAGAGTAGCCAGGATCAACAGCTGGCTGCCTGCTTGTTGCAGACTTTATATGAGGGTTTCTATGACACAGAGAAGAGACAAAAGTGCCTGCCTGAGTCCATGGGGCAGCCAGGCTGTCACAGAATGGCAGAGGCAGAGCATTCAGCCCTCAGCAGTTACCACTATGTCAGCCTGTCTTAGTAATGATGGGCCATGCCTGCTTCAGGGTTACCTTCAGAACCAAATGGCACTGTGAGCAAAAGACAAGTGAAGATGCTTTGTAATGGGAATATCATTCTGGAATACAAGATCCAGTTTGAAGTCATAATGTCCAATACCACAGTTTGAAGATGAGCTCACTCCAAAGTTTAATTTTTATTTATTTATTTATTTTTGAGGCGGAGTTTTACTGTTGTCGCTCAGGCTGGAGTGCGTGCAGTGGTATCGGCTCACAGAAACCTCTGCCTCCCAGGTTCAAGCAATTCTCATGCCTCAGCCTCCAGAGTAGGTGAGACTACAGGCATGTGCCTCCATGCCTGGCTAATTTTTGTATTTTCAGTAGAGATAGGATTTCACCATGTTGGCCAGGCTAGTCTTGAACTCCTGACCTGAAGTGATCCACATGCCTTGGCCTCCCAAAGTGCTGAGATTACAGGCATGAGCCACCCTGCCTCGCCCCAAGGTTTGATTTTTAAAACTGCAGACCACCTTTGGTACAGAACCTCTCCCCTCAGCAGGTTGGGGGCACATGGTTAGGCTGAATCCACTCACCTTAAATGTGACGTGTGTGTCTGAAAGGAGGGGGCCTTCAACCTCAATGATGGGTGTCGACTGGTCTCGGCTGATGACGTGGATGCTTCCTCCTCCACTGGTGTCTATCCCATCTGCCAGGCTTGGAGAGGAGGAGCTGTCTGTGGTATTAAGTGCTTTAGCTAAGGTATCAAATGCCCTGTGAGCAAAAATGAAGCATGTAATTGTAAATCTACAGCTTTTAGGGGGAACAGAATTCTAGCTGAGATACGATTTAGAAAAACTACAATGGGAAAAGATTAAATTAAATTCTACCTAGTGAGGGAAACGCTAACAATGAAAGCTTCTTTATTTTATTTTTTTGAGATAGCACAGGCTGGAGTGCAGTAGCAGGATCTACCTTCCTAGCTTCAAGCAATCCTCGTGCCTCAGCCTCCTGAGTAGCTGGAACTACAGGCACACGCCACCACACCCAGCTAATTTTTTTCATTTTTCAGAGACTGAGTCTCACTCTGTCACCCAAGCTGGAGCGTGGTGGTGTGATCTTGGCTCACTGCAACCTCCGCCTCCTGGGTTCAAGTGATTCTCTTGCCTCAGCCTCCCAAGTAGCTGGGACTACACACGCTGGTGGCACACACCACCATGCCTGGCTGTATCTTTTGTATTTTTAGTAGAGATGGGGTTTCACTATGTTGGCCAGGCTGGTCTCAAACTCTTGACTACAGGTGATCTACCTGCCTTGGCCTCTCAAAGTGCTGGGATTACACACGTGAGCCACCGCATCCGGCAAACAAGGAAAGCTTGTATGTATTATCAACACATCATGTTAGGCACTGAGCTATGTATTACCTAACTTCACGGACAATTTCTCTCTCTCTCTCTCTCTCTCTCTATCTCTTTACTTTTTCAGAGATGGGTCTCAGCTAGTCTCAAACTCCTGGGATCAAGTGATCCTCCTGTCTCAGCTTGTCTAAGTGCTGGGATTATAGCTGTGAGCCACTGCAACTAGGCCCAATTTCTATTTTTCACAAGTACCCTCCAAAGGTAAAAATTCTCTTCCATTTTACAGATGTAAATGCTGAGCTTACAGTTGTTAAATAACTTTTCCAAGACCATCCATACAATAAGTGATAGAACCAGAATTCTACCTAATTCAAATCCCACCCTCTTTCCACTGGACCTAGATCTTATTATCAGACCACAAGTTAACAAGGGACTGGAACCCCTGAAGAGTCTCCAGCTTTGTATCTGGCTGGTCTGGCATGTTAGGAGCAGAGCACAAGAGCCAAACTGCAGAGAAGAAACATCCTTAGCAGCAGTTATTCATGTCTGGCATTAGCTCATACTATCTATCAGCCACTATCAATCTAGTTACCCTGGTGGATTTAAGCTCTGAATTCATTACTCAGAAAAAATATACATGAGGGTTGGGGGTGGTGGCGCACACCTGTAATCCCAGCACTTTGGGAGGCTGAGGCGGGAAGCTCACTTGAGCCCAGGAGTTCTAGACTAGCCTGGGCAACATGGCGAAACCCCATCTCTATTAAAAAATAAAAATAAAAATAAAAATAAAAGAAGACGAGAAAAATAGGTTAAAATAGAAGTAGAAAAAGGAATAAACTCTTAATATGCAGATACATTATTAAATAGTAATTAATACAAATAACTGCTGTCCACTAGAGGTTTCCCCCTACTTCTACTGATTTACTCAATTTTCTTTTCCAAGGCTGGGAATGAAAAGAAGTTTTGATTGTTTTATACTGTATAACGTAAGTGGGTCTATGTTCCCATAGTTAAAATTTGAAAGAAGACAGATGTGCAGGGTCATTGTAACAATTTTATCATCCTTAGTTAAATACAGCACAGGTACCAAAATGCTGTTTTCCACCCTCACGATAGAGGGAGGGTGTCCAGGCCAGGAGGGGGCCTCCACCCTCATGGGCTCGTACCGAGTAATCTCACTTGCAGACTGGTCCTCTGGTTGGATTTCTGAAGTGTCACCGTTGTTCAAAGATTCACTTAGGTTGGCAAGCGAGGTCACTACATTTGCCAGTGTGCCCAGAGCTCCCTGGCTTGTTTCAGCCTATTAAACAAAAAATACTGACATTAAAAATGAACACAGATATGCAAATAACTCTCAGGCCAATGAAGTTACAATGCTGGTTCAAAAACAGCTTAGAGGCGAGGGGAATGTGACTACAAAGGGGCAACATAAGGAAGATCTTTTTGGTGATTTAACAGTTCTGTATCTTGGTGTGGTGGCATTTACACAAATCTAGATATGTGACAAAGTGACAGAACAAAAACAGATAAATTAGACTTCATTAAAATTAAAACTGTTGTGCTTCAAAAGAAATTGTCAAGAAAGTAAAAGCGCATAAAACAAAAGGACAATTCACAGAATGAAATATTTGCAAATCATATGTCTGACAATGGTTTAGTAGCCAGAATATCTAAGGAACACTAACAACTCAATAATAAAAAGACAACCCAATTAAAAAATGGAAAAAGAGGCCAGGCGCAGTGGCTCATGCCTGTAATCCCAGCACTTTGGGAGGCCAAGGCAGGTGGATCACCTGAGGTCAGGAGTTCAAGACCACTGGTGAACATGATGAAACCCCATCTCTACTAAAAATACAAAAAATTAGCCGGATGTGATGGCAGGTACCTGTAACCCCAGGTACACGGGAGGCTGAAGCAGGAGAATCACTGGAACCCAGGAGGTGGAGGTTGCAGTGAGCTGAGATTGTGCCACTGCATTCCAACCTGGGCAACAGAGCAAGACTCTTACTCAAAACAAAACACACAAAATTAGCTGGGTGTGGTGGCACATGCGTATAATCCCAGATACTTGGGAGGCTGAGGCAGGAGAATTGCTTGAACTCGGGAGGCAGAAGTTGCAATGAGCCGAGGTGGCACCATTGCACTCCAGCTGGGGAAATAAGAGTGAAACTCTCTTAAAAAAAAAAAAAAAAAAAAAAGAGGTGCATTATTTCGCAACAAAAAGGAACGAAGTACTGATACATGCTATACATTATGACCCTTAAAAACATTACGCTAAGTGAAAGAAGCCAGCCACAAAAGACCATATACTGTATGATTTCCTTTATATGAAATGTACAGAGTTGACAAAACCATAGAGTCAGAAAGCAGATTAGTGGTTGGTAGGGTTTGAGAAGAGGGGGAAAAAAGGAGTGACTACTTAATACGAACCTGGGAGACAGAGGCTGCAGTGAGCCAAGACGTGTGCTACTGCACTCCAACCTGGGCGACAGAGTGAGACTCCGCCTCAAAAAAAAAAAAAAGAAAGAAAAAGAAATGTCCATTATATTTCAATTAAAAAAGAAAGCCAGGGGTAGTGGCTCACGCCTGTAATCCCAGCATTCTGGGGGGCTGAGGTGGGTGAATTGCTTGAGTCCAGGAGTTCAAGACCAGACTGGGCAACATGGTATCTGGGCTTCACTTTCAGGCTTACGCTTTCTCTGCATTTGACCGTGCAGTCAAGAGTCACTGTCCTAGAATGTGTGCTAGTGACAAGCTAAGCCCATGTGATTCATCAGCTCCCATCATGCATGTGGCCCCTGCCCAAAGACAGAAGGTGCAAGGCCCAGCCTGAGGACTAAGGCACGCAGGGCAGCTCTCCATGACAGGCAAGGGCTCTAAATTTTGTCTTCTCTTTCCCAAAAGAGAATGCCCTGTGATGCCCTGTAATGCCCTGAGAGCGCCCATGAATGAGACTGTGAACAGATGAGAAGGAAGCCTGCAGACCTTGCTCTGGGTCTAATGGTCACAGCAATGCCAGTGTTCTCAATTACCAAGTCACCCTCTTAGAGTTGTGACTTGCTGCTACTTCTTCCTCATTACCTGGTTACATCAGGAGCACCAAGATGAGAAAAACAGTGAGTTTCCTGGCCTGGAAAAAATCCCCCTCCTTGGTTATCTTCACAGGAGCCAGCCAGTCTCCCCTCTTTGGACTGACAAACGTCTCTGTCCACAAGTTAAATCCCTAAGACTGATCTGCTCTAGCAAAGTTTTGGAATTGATAGATTCCTGGCTGAGCTTCACCCTGAAGATCATCTAATAAAAAAGAATCCGGGGTTTTTGCAAAAAGGCCATTTGATAAGCAGCTCTTTCCCTTGGTATGCTAGTAGTTTGCCAATGTGTATAAAAGAAAAAGAAAACTGCAACAGAAAAGAGAACCACCGAATGTCCACCAAATTGACATCCAGACTGACATGTCACAGTGATTATGACCAGCCAGCTCTGATGTGAAAAGCCATCAGCATCTCTAAACAAATCACAAGGAGACCAAGACGTAGGTCATGCTTTTGATGTGGTCTCTGAAGGCCAGGAAGAAGGTGGTGCACACAGTTAGAGAAGTGGCCTGCAATGTCAACATAAAGGATGAGAGAAAGCATGAGTAGAGAACGTCACCTTGGAATCCGTGGCCAGAAGAACTGTACCATCCTCACGTATCAAAGGCTGCTGGATGTTCACAAGCATTCCTGGATCAAGAAGACCTGTTTGTCTATTTAAGACATAAAGAAACTCAGATCAGAGTAGCTTCCAACATTTTATGCACCGTATAATCATGCTGCATTTACCTGTCCTTCCATATTTGTGAAGCTATCTGAATAGCAGAAAAGCTCTAACCAGACTCAGCCGCTTAGTGACCAAACAGAACCCCCACCCCTGTCTCTCTGCAATGAGATATACATAAAGTCGGGTTTACAGCTTGAGACAGGATGAAACACAGATGCATCCCCCAGGGCTTTCCAGGATGACTGCACACTGTGGCCATTCTCCCAAGAAAAGTTTACTTGAGGGGCCGGGCACGGTGGCTCAAACCTGTAATCCCAGCTCTTTGGGAGGCTGAGACGGGTGGATCACGAGGTCAGGAGATCGAGACCATCCTGGCTAACACGGTGAAACCCCGTCTCTACTAAAAAATGCAAAAAACTAGCCGGGTGAGGTGGTGGGCACCTGTAGTCCCAGCTACTCGGGAGGCTGAGGCCAGAGAATGGCGTGAACCTGGGAGGCGGAGCTTGCAGTGAGCTGAGATTTGGCCACTGCACTCCAGCCTGGGCGACAAAGCGAGACTCCGTCTCAAAAAAAAAAAAAAAAAAAAGACAAGTTAACTTGATTTTCAGACAACCAGCAAGGCATCCTCAACTCCAGCTCTCTCTCTGATACATTTTGGATTTCTTGTTTTCCCCTCTTTCTGATCCTTTTAAAGTAAGTTCAATAGATTACATTAAAAAGAATATACAAATTAACTATAGCACTGAGACCTTATCTCACCTTAGGTCTTTTGTCTGTACTGCAGAAAAGCCCCAATCTTGAATTATAAAATAATTGTCTTCCTGTATGAATGATGCCTAAATTGCAGGACATAATCTGAATTCAAGGCTAGGAGAATTTCTGACCCCATCATAAATCAGGCATCCTCAGGCCTATCCAGAGGTGTGACTGAGCAGCTCCAGAAGGGGCAGAATTAGGCAACACAAGGTTGGAGGGTATGGCAGGTGGGTGGGAAGCCACAACAGTGCCTGTTCTGGGACGCGTCTGTGCCTCCTCCATCAGCTGCAAAGGCTGACTGCAGTGAGAAAAAGGGACTGACCTCGCTCCGTCTTTGTCTGCCACAAACGTGGGAGTGGCTATCAGGGGACTTCTCAGGTCTTTCCGGATATAGATTTTCTCAGTTGAAGCAGCACAATTGCTTGGTTTCTCCCGTTGCACATCAAAGGGCTTCCGTTCACTCTGTACGGCTTAAATCACAACATAAACATTTGTGTTTAGAGAAACAATTCAAATCAATAAAAACCACATCCCTCGTGGTAAAGTAAGGGGTTTTCTTTAGTAAATCCATTACCGTAGGGAGGATGACTTTGGTGCTAGGTTCATCTAGCTCAGTTTTCACAGTGGACTTTTCAGCCAGAGAGAGGAAATCAAGCCAAACCATGCCATGTCAAATCTAAAGGCATAAAAAAGACCTCACGATGGGTGGTACTCCCTGCTAAGAAACTGCAGCACAGCACCTATGTGGCCTATGGAAGCACCCATGAGCCTTCTGGGCCATTTTGTTAATTTTATGTTATTATTTTATTGTTTTTTGTAGAGATGAAGCCTCATTATGTTGCCCACTGGACTCAGACTCCTGGGCTCAAGAAATCCACTTGCCCCAGCCTGCTAAAGTGCTGGAATTACAGGCATGAGCCACAGTGCCCAGTTGGTTTTTACTTCATGATGCTAACAAAATAGATCATTTCAAGGATAAAGAAACGCCCATCTTTGGGCCGGGGGCGGTGGCTCAAGTCTGTAATCCCAGCACTTTGGGAAGCCGAGACGGGTGGATCACTTGGCCAACATGGCAAAACCTGGCCTCTACTAAAAATACAAAAATTAGCCGGGTGTGGTGGCAGGCACCTGTAAACCCAGCTACTTGGGAAGCTGAGGCAGGAAGAATTGCTTGAACCTGGGAGACAGAGGCTGCAGTGAGCCAAGACGTGCGCTACTGCACTCCAACCTGGGCGACAGAGTGAGACTCCGCCTCAAAAAAAAAAAAAGAAAAAAAAAGAAATGTCCACCTTCAAGTAGGCCCTTAATAGAATGCATTTCCTTTGCCACAATTTGTAGAGGAACCCTTCTAATTTCCAAATCAAGTCTGAATCACTTCTGCAAACTGTTTAATGGGTGTCAATTTTACATCATGCTAGCAAACTCTCCCTTTAGCAGTCTGATATAAGAGCAAATATGCATGTTAGAAGCAACTGAAGAAAACGAAAGCTTTTTAAAGGCAAAAGTGATGAAGGTCAGGGACTAACATTCAGATACGCTGCTAATCAAACTGCTATCCAATTGAATATTGTGTTTGCAGCTACAGCTGTGATCACAAGAAAACTGATTTCAGTCACTGCTCTGAGTAAAAATATTCATCATTGAGAAAAAGGAAAGCTTAGCAATATGGGCCAGTCCCACACCAAGCCAGTGATTTATTTACTCACTTTGGGGAAAGAGCAGTATCATTAGATTAAATAAAAACATCACACTAGGCAGAAATTAGGTTGATATTTCTAATTTCTCAAAAAATACATTTCCATTTATTCTCCAGTTAATTTTACAGATTCCCATTCCCAGAAACGTCAACATCAATACTGAAATATATTGGTTTTCAGTGTTCCTAGAAAACTATGCAAAAGATGACAGAACCATGCAGCATACTCAGCAGGAGCCTGCAGTCCTGGGTCCACGGCCACCAGACTTGCGAGGCTGAGTTGCATGCCTTGCTCTGCTAAGCTCCATTTTCCTACTGTGGTTTGAGCCTAACTACACTCTCCTTGAATTTCTTTGTGCTGCCCATCTTGGGTCCTGGTCTTCATGTTTTCACCACAAGTTAGGGAAGTGACCTCCATGTTGATTGGTCCCTGAAAACTCCCAAAATTCTGGCTATGGGAGTGGAAAGGAGGGGCCTGAGACCTTCCCTGGCTGCCCCACACATCCAGGAGCAATATATTTCCCTTTAGAACCCCAGTTACACAGAGGCTTGGCAAAGGACCTTATCCCAAAAGAAAGTAGAGGGGCTAAGAAGACAAGGAGTAGGCTGATGTAATCCTCAGGAGCAATATATAAGTAAGGTGAATAAGCAGATCACAGAAGAGGACCCTGTGGCTGAGAGGCTATGTGTGTCCTCAGGCATCATAGCTCTCTCTTAGTGGCACACCTGGAGGTAGATTTGGTACCACCTTTCCTCCAAAGCCTGTGTTCAATCCACTCCACTAAGCTGCCTCCTGATGCATCTGGAATAAGGCTTTCCACACACACAGCAGGAGAACAGACCAATCCCCGCAGCACTGGCTCTGAATCACCTAGCTGACCCATGAGGTAAACCAAAAGGAAGCTTAAGTGCGTAATTTTTCTTAAAGTATTTTAAGGCCAGGTATAGAAACCTTATTTTTTCTTGTTTACTCTCTCCCTCTGCGTTAACTCATGTGATTTTAAAATTTTTTTTTTTTTTTTTTGAGGGGAGTCTCGCGCTGTCGCCCAGGCTGGAGTGCAGTGGCCGGATCTCGGCTCACTGCAAGCTCCGCCTCCCGGGTTTGCGCCATTCTCCTGCCTCAGCCTCCCAAGTAGCTGGGACTACAGGCGCCCGCCACCTCGCCCGGCTATTTTTTTGTATATTTTTTAGTAGAGACAGGGTTTCACTGTGTTAGCCAGGATGGTCTTGATCTCTTGACCTCGTGATCTGCCCGTCTCGGCCTCCCAAAGTGCTGGGATTACAGGCTTGAGCCACCGCGCCCGGCCGGTTTTAAAATATTGTTACTCACATTCCATTTTCATGCCCATCTCTAAGCATTTTTTCAGCCGGCAAAACTGACAGCGGTTCCGGTGATGTTTATTGATGATGCAGTCTTGGTTGCTCCGACAGCTGTAGGTCAAATTTTTCCTCACGCTCCTTTTGAAGAAACCTTTGCAACCTTCACAACTGACAGCCCCATAGTGACGGCCTGAAACAGGAGAAAGAATACACAAATATTTTGTGACTATATTTGTGGATTCAGTTCCTGTGCAAGTCTTATCGAAGTGATGGGTGCATACGCTGTTAGGTGCCAACAGCCACGTGGCCTGAGCATTAAGCATACTGGCCACACCCTTCAAGTAATTTCTCTACAATCTTTCAAGTAGCCTTAGGAGTTCATGATGGAAATACTGAAGCTCGGACAGGTTATATGACAGCTGGCAGATGGCATGACCTTAGTGCTCTTAGTATACAAATGGTCTAACACACAGTAGGAGCTCACAGGTGACAGCTGAACTCTACTATCCACTTGAACACAGCTGGGTCCTATTCCTGGAGATCTGGGCTTATGAAGTGGATCAGGTCCCCTGTCCCGCCACAAGTGGCACATAGCAGACACGTGTATGTGTGGCTTCGGCACAGAGGGTCTCACTCCTGCATTTAGCCCCTCTCTCTGATTCACGTCCTGGGCCCTAAGTCTCCCCTGGGGAAGCGGGATAGTCACAGGGAGAAGCATGGGCACTGTGACTGCCAAAGCCCACAGCAAACGAAGATTACCGTATGGCTCATATGGGCTAGCTACTCAGAGCCTTCTAGAAACATAGTTCTAGGAATGCATTTATTAAACACAGTTTATTTTTCTAATCTTGTTTTACTTTGGTGTCTCTTTTTATTTTTGATACATTGTAATTGTCCATATTTATGAGGTATAATTTGATATTTCAATATATCCACATGTTGTATAATGATCAAATCAGGTAGAGTGACCACCACCTTATGCATTTATCATTTCTTTGTAATAAGGACATTCAAAAACCTTTCTTCTAGGTATTTTACAATATATAATACCTTATTGTTAGCTATGGCTACAGTGCAACAGAACACCAGAACTTGCTCCTACTACTTAACTGTAACTTTGTACCAGTTGGTCAGTCTTTCCCAACCATCTCTCACTTTTCCCCTCCCGCGTCTTGGTGCCATTGTTCTACTCTCTGTTTCTATGATATCATTTATTTTTTAAGGATTCCACAGGAGTGAGATAATATTTGCCTTTCTGTGTCTGGCTTATTTCACGTAACATGATGTCCTCCATGTTCATCTATGTTGTCACAAAGAGCAGGATTTCATTCAATTTTATCTATTCCACTGTGCTACATACCACATTTTCTTTAGCAATTCATCCACTGTTGGATACTTAAGCTGATTCCGCATCTTGGCCATTGTAAATAGTCATGCAGTAAACATGGGAGTGCAGATATTTCTTCAACATAATGATTTTATTTCCTTTGGATTTGGATCCAGTACTGAGATTGCTGGATCATGTGGTAGTTCTAGTTTTAATTTTTTGAAGAACCTCCATACAGTTTTCTTTTTTTTTTTTTTTTGAGACGAGCGGCGCGGCGCCCGGCGCCGCGCCAGGGGGGGGCAGGCCGAGCTCAGCCACGGCAAAGCTCCAGCGCGCCGGGTCGACGGCGCATTCTTCCGGCTCAGCTCGCCGAGTAGCTGGGGACTACAGGCGCGCCGCCGCACCTCGCGCGGTCTTGAGTTTTTGTGGGGGAGTAAGCGGGTTTCACGTGTTAGCCAGATGGTCTCGATTCTCCTGACTCGTGTCCGCCGGGCGGCTCCCAAGTGCGGGGATTACAGGCTTTGAGCCACCCCGCCCGGCGCGTGACAGACGAGTGGCGTATAGTTGCGTGGACTGGTTTGACAGTGGCCACCACAAGGGAGTGATTCCCTTGGCGGCGCGCGGCGGGCCCTAGCACGTCTGTGTCGTTTGCGGGTGAGAGGAGCGATGTTTGTTTCGGTTGGTGGAGACAACAGGGCATCACGTAGACTGAATGCAGGGGTGGTGATGGTCGGCGCGCGCGAACGCACCGTCCTGTGTGTAGGAGATTCTTGGCGCAGGCCTCCCGAGTAGCGAAGGCACCAGCACCACGACGAAGGTTTAGGGTATAAGGAGGGAAAAACAGAGAGAAAGGGAAATGCGGAGAGGGTGTAGGAAAAGGCGGGTTTTTGGGTTTAAGACAAGAGTTCGTTGGCTTTTGGTCACCCAGGCTGGAGTACAGTGGTGCGATCTTGGCTTACTGCAATCTCTGCCTCTCAGGTTCAAGCAGTTCTCCTGCCTGAGCCTCCCAAGCAGCTGGGATTACAGGAACCCACCACCACACCCAGCTAATTTTTGTATTTTTAGTAGAGACGGGGTTTCACCATGTTGACCAGGCTAGTCTCGAACTCCTGACATCAGGTGATCCGCCTGCCTTGGCTTCCCAAAGTGCTCGGATTACAGACGTGAGCCACTGCACCCTGTCAAAAAATATGTATCTTATAAAAATACAAAAATTAGTAGAGATGAGGTTTTGCCACGTTGGCCAGGCTGGTCTCGAACTCCTGGCCTCATGTGATCTGCCCACCTCAGCCTGCCAAAGTGCTGGATTATAGGCATGTGCCACCGCACCCAGCCTGATTACAGACATCCTACCTGGAGGTGATACCTCATGTGGTGTTGATTTGCATTTCCTTGCGGATTAGCGATGTTGAGCATTTTTTCATATAACCATTGGCCATTTGAATGTCTTCTTTTGAGAAATGTCTATTAAGGTATTTTGCCCATTTTAAAATTGAGTTACTTGTTTTTTTGCTGTTAAGTTCCTTATACGTTCTGGATAGTAACCCCTTGTCAGGTGTACAGTTTGCATGGTATCTCCAACTTTTAATTATCAATGACATTAAAAAGTGGCCCTGGCCAGGCAAGGTGGCTCACGCCTGTAATCCCAGCACTTTGGGAGGCCAAGGCAGGCAGATCACCAGGTCAGGGGATCGAAACCATCCTGGCTAACACGGTGAAACCCCATCTCTACTAAAAATACAAAATTTAGCCAGGTGTGCTGGCAGATGCCTACAGTCCCAGCTACTCGGGAGGCTGAGGCAGGAGAATCACTTGAACCCAGCAGGCAGAGGTTGCAGTCAGCCGAGATCATACCACTGCACTCCAACCTGAGCAACAGAACAAGACTCCATCTCAAAAAAAAAAAAAAGTGTCCCCTCCTTCAGTTTAGCTTTCTTATTCACAAAGTACTTTCACATACATTATGCCTCACTTGTTTCCAGCTGAGACTGACCATGGACATGCTCTTCTGATTCTGTCTTGTTTGTATAATCCAATTTCACAGCTACATTGCCAAGGAGAATACATTTCACAGGATTACCATTTATGGTGGCTACAGAGAATCCCATTGTTCTAAGCTCTAGTATGCAAAACCATTTTCCAAGTGTGCATTTGGAACAACTTGGTCTTGTTCTTTTAAGAATAGTTGTGGTAAAGTGCCTTCTATAACATCATTTTTCCTTTCTTTGCAATATATTTCCTTGAGTTCTCTATCTCTTTGAGTGACACTAATTCAGGAGACAATGGCACAAAGAGCCTGTGACTAGGCCTTTCCTTAAGCTCAGAAGAAGACTGACAAATGGGGAAGTCGAGCAGATTTTATGGCCCTTTTGTTATGTTTGTGCTTCATTCATTTGTTCAGAAGTTTGTAGAGTGCCTTTCCTTGCTGAGCAAGAAGACAGGAATACAGAGATAGATGGTAAGACATGGTTTTTGCTTTGACATTCTGATGGGGAAGACAGGCCTGTAGAGTGAATTATATGAGTAGGCAACAACTGATTAGAGAAATCTGTAGGACAGGGCAATCAGAATCACAGGCAGCACTGTCTACCTGCCTACTGGGGTAGGTGAGGGCTTCAGAGAAGGGATAGGATGGATTGGGTTTACCAGGACAAAGGGTGGCAGGCACCATTGGCAGATAAATGGTGTCACCAGCGTGAAAGAGAAACTGGAGCTTCTGATCTTCTGTAGATGCTTGTCTGGGTCTGTCTTCCTAAGAGGCTTGGTCCAACCTCCTTTTTAAAAAACAAAACAAACAAACAAAAACCAGGACTACAGTGTCCAAAGTTCCTGTGAATTTTGTGACCACAGAAGAAAGTGGAACCAGGCAGCCATCACAGAACACAGGCCTGTGCCCTTGGCATCCCTGGTACTGTGTTCTTATAAAATACTTCTCCATTCCTTCCTGTCTGCCTCACTAACCTTCTATGGATCCCCAGTACAAGCAGGCCAGCACTTGAATTTTTGGGCCAGACATGTTCTTCAGTCTCACTTTACCCAATCGTAATCACAGAAGCCTATAAGCTCTCTCTCAAGGATACCGTGGGTATAGACCTTAAACTCTAGGCCCTGGCTCCACTTGCTGGAATGCCCTCCTCCTGCTCCAACGAACATGTACACAATCACCAAGGCTCCCACGTGTTACTGCCTCTGTGGGGCCTTTCCTGACCCTGGGACTCTAGCTGGAATCACATGCTGCCTCCTGCTTCATTACAGCAGTTATTCATAGTGGGTTATAGTAAGGGGATGATAGAGACAGTTATAGTTAGGATGAAGGGGGATTATACAAATTATACATCTTGTAAAATAGCCAAGTGCTATGCAAATGCACACTTAACCAAGATCTACAAATCACAGAAATCATTTCTTGACTTTTCCTTTTTATGTCTAATTATTCGACAAACTACCTTACTTATTTACATCATTACCCCAATAAGAAAAGTAGAATTCATGTGTGAAACCTACAAACGTACATAAAATGGTCTTTCTAAATTAACTACCACCCCACCTCACAACAGTTACTTCATGCTGTTGGCCCGTTATAAGTGCCAGCATAACCTGGAACTACATACCGGAGGCTTTGTCGCCACAGACCACACAGTACTCTACCACCTGGGGCCGCTGGACGTCCGTCTTCCCCAGTAAACGCTCCACAGAGGCAGAATCCGTGACAATCTGAGAGAAACCAGGAAATAAAAAGGGGTGCCAATTAACAACCAAATCACTGCCGGGCATGGTGGCTCACGTCTGTAATCCCAGCACTCTGGGAGGCCAAGGCGGGTGGATCACCTGAGGTCGGGAGTTTGAGATCAGCCTGGTTAACATGGTGAAACACCGTCTCTACTAAAAATATAAAATTAGTCAAATGTGGTGGCAGGTGCCTGTAATCCCCAGCTACTCTAGAGGCTGAGGCAGGAGAATTGCTTGAACCCAGGAGGCAGACATGGTAGTGAGCTGAGATCACGCCACTGCACTCCAGCCTGGGTGACAGAGTGAGACCCCATCTCAAAAACAAACAAACAAACAAACACAGACAAAAACCCAGATCACTAAGCAAAGTAATGTTTAACTATAAATTCTCAATGTTGGGTTTCTAAGCAGGAGAACTCTGGACAGAACTGGGAAAATTCCAAATGACAACTTAATCTGACACCCAGAATGGTTCTGCCACTCATCCGGACTGCTCATCAGCTGGGTGGTTTCCCAGGATCAGGTGCTGGTTTCCACTGATCTACTCTATCTGGCTACTACAACCACCCAAAATTGTGGCCCATGTGGGGAATCACACACAGACGCTACCAAATGAAGACATTTAAGATTCTTCCCATAACAACTTGAATGTATGCAAAGAGGTATATTGGCAGAGAAATAACCAAACTTTATTAATTAACTAGGACTCTGACTGAGGCAGCCGGTGGTGAGATGACGAGAACAAATGACCTTTGAAACCTGCTATCTTCCCCTAATTTGTGGTGATTTTCTAGGCTACAGCAATTCATCTGGGAGAATACTATAACTGATATCAATACGCAAAAGTGAAAAATAGCTGTTATTTTAAAATGTACTTGAACTTGAGCCAACAATAAGCCTTAAAATGATTTATACACGGTGGGAACACATACAGAAATCATTAAGTAGAATCACCTCTTGTGAAACATGCAACAAAATCAACAGCCATTCTTTCACAGACAAGGAGTATTCTAAAGGAGGAGGAATTCCTTTCTGATTGCAGATGATCACAATGTACTCCGGGAACGGAAGGATGAGACAGCATTTAGTAAGTGTGGGTAAGGTGTCTAAAAGAACAGTTCTGAAAGCTGAACACGTTGGCATTCTGATCCCAGCTCAATCAGAAGACAAAAAAATTCTTCCCTTCCTTAAGTTTCTTCATAGTAGAACCTCCCCACCCAAAACAGAGATTCTAAGCAGCATTAATTCAATAGTCAAAAGGTGGAAGCAACCTACATGTCCAACAACAGATGAAGAGAAAAAATGTGGTCTATATACAGAGTGGAATATTACTCAGCCTTTAAAAGGAATGGAATTCTGACACATGCTACGACATGGATGGGGGAAATAAGCCAGTCACACGAAGGCTGATTTCACTTATATGAGGTACCTAGAATAGTCAAATTCATGGAGACGGAAAGTAGAATGGTGGTCACCAGGGCTGGGCGAAGGGGAGAGGAGAGTTACTGTTCTATGAGTATAGAGTTTCAGCTTAGGAAGAGGAAAAGAGTTACACAGAGCTGGACAGTGGTACAACAATGTAAATCTACTTAATGCCACTAAACTGTATACCTAAAACTGATTAAGATGGTAAGTTTTATATTATGTATATTTTATCAAAAATTAAAAAAAAAAATTAAACACAACCCTGACGAAGCATGCTCTGTGCTCAGCCATCATGGGATACTGACCTTGAGTTTCTGTTCTCTAAGTGTTGGTTTTGGAGATTCTATGCTTCCCAGCCTCATGCTGAGCAACAACCCTGCTTTCCTTCAATGCCTGCTCTTTTCCTTGCTGTAGACTGTCCTCAACCCCATCCTGCCTTGAGAGAGCAGGAAGAACCAGGGCAGAGACAGAGACAAGAACTGAGGGGCCCAGAGTGAGCAGTACACGGTGGCAAGTAAAGACATAATGAAAAGCTGGGGCCACAGACCTGATGATCTGGACAAATCAGTTCTCGCTTGGCTACAGTCAGCCCTAGGTGGTACCTTTAAAATATCAAGGGCTGACACTTGATGGCCTTAGGTAAGAACAATTTCCCAGTAGCCTCAGGGCCGGCTTGCTCATGCCAGTCTCCTGTGGCCACTGACCTCCTTGTTGTACTTCCATCCTCTCTGAGTGTTACAGCTGACTGTCTTCTGGGCCTTGCCACTGGTTTGCTGGTTTATTACTTTGGCCAAAGCAGCAACCTGCCATGTTTGCAGGTCCCCAAATAACCTTCCAGGGATGGATTTGGCCTCGAAGGCAGACGTAAGAACAAGTCAGGAACAAGTTCGATAGCAGAAGTGCTGAAACAAATACCTGTCCAAAGGCCTTACCTGGATCCTGCCAGGGACGAGGTTGTCTGAGGTGGTAAATATGAGTTGCTTGGCGCTGGATGTCTCTGGGGAAGCCAGGATCACCTTCCCAGTTCCAGCTCCATCTGGGCTGGTCAGGATGAACTGCTGTTTAGGGGATCCGGAGGCGTCCACTGCGGTGACTATCTGGATCTTCTGTCCTGTCTGCTGGTCTGTGACAATCTATAAGACACAACATGGAGGCCGCTCTCATGGAGTGTCACAAGACCTATGCATTTGCAGGTGGTGCTCAAAGTGGTGACCGCCAAACACCTTGAATTAATGCTGTCTAACATGCAGTTTCACTAGTCCACGGTGAATCGAGAAAAACAAAACCCAATAGTGAGCTTTTCAGAAACAAATTTTCATAAAGCTAATTTTAGTCTAGGACCATATCTTTCCTACTGTTTTTAGAAGTAAAATGCCCTTTCTTTTATGAAATGAAGGCAGTAATAAATAATAGATAGGTTTAACTTTTTGAAAAGTCCTTGTCCTCACGTATTAAGAAATGTAGGCAATCCTAACTCTTGAAATGCTACTGATCCATAAAGTCCAAAAACTTGGGAACGACTGCTTCAAAGACGGCCTCTTTCTAAAAGGTCCTATAAATACTATTGCCTTAGGTTGAGAGAATACAGGGAGACCCTTGCTGACACACACTCAACTCACCACTAATTGACCACCCACCTCCTTCACTCCCACTTCCTGACTCTGAGGTCTTTAAGGATAGAAACTACATCTGATTCACTGCTATATCCCCAGGGCCAGCACAAGGCCTGGCACATAGAGAGAAGACAATAAAAGATCATAGGATGCACTGAAGGAAGTGGGCACTGACTCTGGAGAAGTCTTGACCCTTATTCCTCTGGGAGTTCCCACTCTTCAGGAGCATCACTGTCAAGACTCCACTTCTTCACACAGTCCTTGTCTAATTGCATCAGTCACAACAAAAACAGTTGCTATGACAAGAATGAACTCTCTTTTTCTTGCTCATGAAGTTCTTTAAAGTTGTTCTAACCCCCGTCCTGCCTCTCTCCTAGGCCAGATATTCCTGGCTAGCAGCACTGCCACCTTTCCCTCCAGGCACCAGCAGACCCTTACTACAAAGAGGACTCTGGAGCTGCTGCTGCTGCTGTGTTGGGTGAGGGGAAACATGCTATGTCTCTGGCTGGAACTCAGTTTCCTACAGCACAGTACATTTATGGGCAGGTCTAGCATCTGTACCACCTCTTGACACTTTTGAAATGGAACTCTGGCCGGGCGCGGTGGCTCACGCCTGTAATCCCAACAGTTTGGGAGGCCGAAGTGAGAGGATCACCTGAAGTCAAGAGTTCAAGACCAGCCTGGTCAACATGGTGAAGTCCCGTCTCTACTAAAAATACAAAAATTAGCTGGGCATGGTGGTGGGCGCCTGTAGTCCCAGCTACTTGGAAGGCTGAGACATGAGAATCGCTTGAACCCAGGAGGCAGAGTTTGCAGTGAGCCAAGATCGTGCCACTGCACTCCAGCCTGAGCGACAAAAGGGAAACTCTGTCCCCCCCACCTCAAAAAAAAGAAATGGAACTCCAAGGTTGAGACAACAAACTCACACAGTCTAACACAACAGCTTTGCTAACTGCAATATGGAAAATAAGACAATGTTGGCTGGCTCAAAATAAAATGACATAGGCAAGAAAAGATTCAATCACTTAGATGTTTACTGAGCACCCACTATGAGTCAAGCACTGTTCTAGGTACTAGGAATATGGACGTGAACAAAAAAAGGTCCCACCATCATGGAACTCAACTTCTAGTGGGGGAAACAGACCATGAACTCTGAATAAATAATATCAGTCAGTGTAAATGCCCTGGAGAAAACAAAAAGCAGAATAAACAGAAAAAGCATGACATTGGGAAGGAGACAGGGATGCAACTTTAGGAGGAGAGACATCTCTGAGTATGTGACACTAAGCAAAGACTTGAATCAAACACAAGAGGAAACTGCAAAAATGTGGCAAAGTGTGCTACAGGGCACAGCCAAGTGCAAGACCAGAGAGGACAGCAGAATAGGATGACAGATCCAAGAATGAATCCTCAGCTGATCATGGGACAAACCCCAGTATATCATCGTTTCCAATTAAAGGGGCAAAAGATGTTTAAGGCTCAAGGAGAACAGATTTGGAGGGAATGAAAGGAAGAACCTTTCATCATTACAATCTGTGGTATGCCCAGAGTCCCCCAGAAACATAAAACATGAGACAGAAAACCTTGTGAGGAGAATTATCTTTAAAAAAACTTTCCTACCCAAGGCTCAACTGAGAGACTGCAGACACAGGCTGGTTGACACACACTTCTCTCAGCTGCCACAGAAGGGATTTCTTGCCTTAAACAAGATGGCCTTTCGAAGCCCTTATAACCTTGAGCTCCGTGAGTCAAATGTCCATCAATTTTTTTTTTTTTTTTTTTGAGACAAGAGTCTCACTTTATCACCCAGGCTGGAGTGCAGTGGCATGAGTATGGCTCACTGCAGTCTCAACCTCCTAGGCCCAAGCCATCCTTCTGCTTCAGCCTTCTGTGTAGCTGAGACCACAAGCGTGTGTCACCACATCCAGCTAATATTTTAGAAAAATTTTTTGTAGAGATGGAGTCTCATTTTGTTGCCCAGGCTGGCCTCAAATTCTTGGGCTCAAGTGATCCTGCTGTCTCGGCCTCCCAAAGTGCTAGGATTCAGGCATGAGCCACCAAGCCTGGCTCATGTCTATCAATTCTTATTTCCTTCCTAAACTGTTTTCCCTGTTAAGAAATGACATAGTTATGTGATTGAGAGGGGTCTTCAATTACCAACTAAAACCAAGGCAATACTAGTAATTCCTTTGCCTTTTTGTAATCAGAGATGACACATTCTGTACCAGAGCACACACAGATAACCAACATGTCATTTCCTTGTATGCTCTTCTCCAGTCATTGTGGTTGAGGTATGGCAAGTATGAGGTCAGGGTATGGTGTTAGAAGGTAGAAGTTACTGGTTCCAGACAGGGACAGTAGCTCTTAGTGGCAGTATATAACATACTTCAAGGCTCAGAATTTTTTTTTTTTTTTTGAGACAGGGTCTTGCTCTGTTACCCACGTTGGAGTGCAGTGGCATGATCCTGGCTCACTGCGGCCTCGACCTCCTGGGCTCAAGCAATCCTCCTATCTCAGCCTCCAGAGTAGCTGGGACTACAGGTAAGCACCACCATGCCTGGCAATTTTTTTTTTTTTTTCTCTAGAGATGGGGGTCTCACTATTTTGTCCAAGCTGGTCTTGAACATCTGGGCTCAAGTGATCCTCGTGCCTTCACCTCCCAAAAGCTGAGAACCAATGTACCTGGCTAGATTATTCTTTTCTTTTTTTCTCAAAGACTCGCGCTCATAAAAATTCAATGAATTACTTATAATTTGGGGATTTTTTGTTTATCTTCACCCTCCTAAGACATTTGTATCCTCCATTTAGAGAGAACACCTCCATGAGAAAACTAAAAATGCAGGCAGAAAAAAAAAATCTTCCAAATACCCTATTGGAACACAAGGGTGACCACTAGGCAAGACCTTGTTAACAAACACAGATAGATTCCTATTTAATGACCTAGAGGAAACATCAAATTGCAAGGATATATCCAAGCTCATTAAAATTTAAGTCGGCTGTGGAGGAGAGGTATTGTGCATAGAACTTTACTCCCTGAAAAGATACATTCCAGCCAGAATTCCCAGTATCTATTAATGTGACCTTACTTGGAAGTAGGGCCTTTGCAAATGTAATTAGGATAAGATGAGGTAATACTGCATTAGGGTGGGCCCTAATTCAATGAATGGTGTGTCCTTATAAGAAGACCACGTGGCAATGGAGGCAGAGATTGGAGTGATGCAGCTGCAAGCAAGCAAGGATTGCCAAGGACTGCTGGCACCTACCAGAATGTAGAAGAAGACAAGGAAGGACACTCTCCTAGAACCTTAAGAGAGCATGGCCCTGCTGACACCTTGATTTCAGACTTCTGGCCACCAGAAGGTTGGGAAAATAAATTCCTATTGTTTTAAGTCACCAAGTTTGTGGTAATTTATTGTGACAGCCCTGGGAAATTAATACAAGAGGCAAATTTTATTTAATTTCTTTATTTGGAACAAAAATTCTTAACCTTCTGTCTGTAAACTATAACAAATTGGGGGGAAGGGAGTAATGTAAGAAGATAAGGGCTATTTTCTGTGATTTTTAAGGCCCTCAATAGCCTACCTAGTCAGAGCTGCTACAATGCTTGTTGTGAAAAGGTGAATTTGTTTGAACATGATTGATATGTTAGTAAATAATTAGCATATAATGCAAATTTGGTGTTTATGCATGGTTTCTTCCATGAATAACACTAAGTAAATAGGTTAACAGAAAATGACACTGAGCTGAAGTTATCCATGCAGGGATACTCAGTGCACGTGGTATGAGTCACATTCAATCCATCTGGTGACTTCAGGTCACCCCATGTCCACCACTCACAGTAACTCATGAGACGCAATCCTCCCTACACCTACCTCCACAAAGAAACTACAGGACTTTTTCAAGGTAAAGTGCCGTATTTATTTATTTTTGAGATGGAATTTTGCTCTTGTTGCCCAGGCTGGAATGCAATGGCTCGATCGATCTCAGCTCACAGTAACCGCCTCCCAGGTTCAAGCGATTCTCCTGCCTTAGCCTTCAGAGAAGCTGGGATTACAGACACACGGTACCATGCCCAGCTAATTTTTTTTTTATTTTTAGTGGAGATGGGGTTTCTCCATGTTGGTCAGGCTGGTCTCAAACTCCCGACCTCAGGTGATCCGTCCACCTTGGCCTCCCAAAGTGCTGGGATTACAGGCATGAGCCACCGCGCCTGACCAAGTACCATATTTATTATAGTCACTATGTATTTAACTACTTGCAGGTTTTATTAGATTCACTATCTGTTTTTTAATATGTTACTGACAAAGTTTTTGAGAATTGTGTCACTAATCTCATTTTTTTCCCCATCAGTCCTGTGGTTTTCATTGCACAATTTGGTAAAGTGTGGGAATTTTCAGGAACACATGTCACATTATAGCACAACTGACTTTACTATGCTAAGGTCCTCTCTAGTTAAGGTCCTCTCTAGTTCTAATTCCAAAGGACCTTGAAACGATCGTATACACCACCATTCTCCCCCATGTTACCCACTCTGTTCCAGCCAGCTCAACATCTCTGTTGCAAAGAAGAGTCTGCCAATGAATGGCCTGCAGGCAAAAACCAGCCACTGGATAACTTTTGTTTGACTACCCAAAATTATTATTTTTAAATTTTTTTTCTTGAGACTAGGTCTTGTTCTGTCACCCAGGCTGGAGTGCAGTAGCATGATGTTGGCTCTTTACAACCTCCACCTCTCAGCCTCAAGTGATCCTCCCATCTCAGTCTCCCAAGTAACTGGGACTACAGACTCGTGCCACCACGCTTGGCTAATTTTTGTATTTTTTGTAGAGATGACATCTCACTATGTTGCCCAGGCTGGTCTTGAACTCCTGAGCTCAAGCGATCCACCTACATCAGCCTCCAAAGTGCTGGGATTACAGGTGTGAGCCACTGCACTCAGCCCCCTAAATATTTTTTTAAAAAACTTTGCTAACATCTAAAAATTGAGTATTTCCCATAATCAAAATCAAATTTGTAGTTCTCTTGACAAACTGGAAGCTCAGGTCATCCTGGGCTCAAGTTCTCTCCATGGTGCCAGGTGGCTGGAGATGGTGTGGGTTGGCTACCCCTTTAGATGAGGTAGCCTCTCCAGTTCATCCCCTATCCTCACCTTGCCACCTCTTTCACTGTAAACACGGGAGACAGGGCTTGGTAGCTACAGACATGAATATGAATGCTTACTCTATTACTTTCCAGTTGTGTCAACTTGGAGCAGTTACACAAGCCCTTGAGCTCCATTTATGTATCTATGAAAAAGGATGACTAGGAAAGTGAAATGATACGATGTGTGTGAAACTGCTTGGTACACTGCCCAGAACATGCCAAGACCTTGGTAAAGTATTCTTCCCTCTAAGCTCTCACATACTCCTTTCCTCACTCAGTTTTGTCTTATCCCTTTCATCTTATCAAATCGCTCCTGATGAAAAAGTCAAGACTTTTTTACCATGGCTTACTCATTCTTTCATTCATTCCTCAAATATTTACTGAGGGTCTATTCTGTCAGACAGTGTGTTAGACAGTGGCATATGAAGATGGCTCCTGCCCTCATGAAACTTTTAGTTCAGTCGAAGAGACTGGCAATATACAAGGAAACAAACCAGTCAGTAAACAATTTCAATTTATGGTACATGTTATGAGGGAAAAGACCAGGTTGGGGTAACCCCGAATAACAAAAGTATTTAACTTTAGAAAGAGAGGTCAGGGGGCTGGGCGCAGTGGCTCATGCCTGTAATCCCAGCACTCTGGGAGGCCGAGGAGGGCAGATCACGAGGTCAGGAGATCGAGACTATCCTGTCTAATACAGTGAAAACCTGTCTCTACTAAAAATACAAAAAATTAGCCAGGCGTGGTGGCAAGCACCTGTAGTCCCAGCTACTCGGGAGGCTGAGGCAGGAGAATGGCGTGAACCCGGGAGGTGGAGGTTGCAGTGAGCCAAGATCATGCCACTACACTCTAGCCTGGGTGACACAGTGAGACTCTGCCTCAAAAAAAAAAAAAAAAAAAAAGAGAGGTCAGGGAAAACCTCCGTGACAAGGTGACATTTAAGACAAGATTTGGGCTGGGTGTCTGTAATCCCAGTACTTTGGGAAGCCAAGGCGGGCGGATCACCTGAGGTCAGGAGTTCAAGACCAGCCTGGCCAATATGGTGAAACTCTGTCTCTACTAAAAATACAAAATTAGCTGGGCGTGGTGGCGCATGTCTGTAATCCCAGCTACTTGGGAGGCTAAGGCAGAAGAATCGCTTGAATCTGGGAGGCAGAAGTTCCAGTGAGCCAACACTGTGCCACTGTACTCCAGCCTGGGTGACAAAAGCAAAATGAAAAAAAAAAAAAAAAAAAGGTTTAAGGCTGAGGAGACAGCAGCCAGGTAAATGTTTAGCGTTCCAGCAAAGAGAAATGTTCTGGCATATGGAAAGCCCTGGGAGGAACAAACTCTTAGGAACTGCTATCAGGCCCATGGACAACCAGCATGGCCCAGGAACCTAAAGAGGGAGGTGGGACGGCCCTGCTGCAAGTCTGGATTTCTTTCTGAGTACAACGAGAATCCCTTCAAGGGTCTGTCCACCGACCCAAAACCAGCTCTTCAGATTTCCCATACTGTTTATATACACATACCACCCGTCCACTCACATACCTACACATACACAATTTCCTATAACAAATATAGAATTTACATATAGAATATATATAAATTTATAAGACAGATCATATATTAGAGCATACCAAAAGATAATAGCAAAGATTATTAACTAAAAATAAAAAGGGTAGAAGGAACCTGCTTTAAAAAAGGTTTGCAAAAAGGTATTAATAAATCCTGACCTTTGCGAAAAGGTAAATAAATCTTTTACTTAAGTATAAATTTTAGCTCATATGAATAGTTCTGAATTATTATTTTAGTTTTTTGAGACAGGGTCTTGCTCTGTGGCCCAGGCTGGAGTGCAGTGGCATGATCACAGCTCACTGCAGCCTCAACCTCTGGGGCTCAAGCAACCCTTCCACCAAAGCCTCCCAAGTAGCTGGGACTACAGGAATGCATCACCATGTCTGGCTAATTTTTTAGTTTTTTTTTTTGTAGAGATACAATCTCACTTTGTTGCCCAGGCTGGTCTCGAACTCTTGGGCTCAAGTGATAAGCCTTCTTCAGCCTCCATAAGTGCTGGGATTACAAGGGTGAGCCATCATACCCAGCCTAAATGGAGGATATTAATCCAAATATATCAACAATCACTTTATGAATTGATCCACATTCACAATGAAAAGACAGATTGTCAGCTGGGTAAAAAAACAAGACTCTTATGAAATTATACAGGAAGTAGGAAAAAAATGGGAAAAAATCAAGACCCCAATACATATTGCCTACAGGAGAACCATTTTATATATAAAGACACAGACAGATGCAAAATAAAGTGATGGAGTAGCTGACAGTGGTGCACATTTGTAGTCCCAACTACTTGAGAGGCTGAGGCAGAACGATAGCTTGGGCTCAGGAGTTTGAAGTTGTAGTGCTCTACAATCCTGTCTGTGAATAGTAAATGCACTCTAGCCTGGGCAACAGAGCAAGACTCTCCTAAAAAAAAAAAAAAAAAGTTGGCCAGGCACGGTGGCTCACACCTGTAGTCCCAGCACTTTGGGAGGCTGAGGCAGGCAGATTGCTTGAGCTCAGAAGTTTGAGATCCGCCTTGGCAACATGGTGAAATCCCATCTCTATTAAAAAAAAACAAAACAAATCGTGTGTGTGTGTGTGTGTGTGTGTATCCAGGCATGGTGGTATGCGCCTGTAGTCCCAGCTACTTGGGAGGCGTAGATGAGAGGATGGCTTGAGCCTGTGAGGTAGAGGCTGCAGTGAGCTGTGTTCACGCCATTGCACTCCAGCCTGGGTGACAGAGCAAGACCCTGTCTAAAAAAAAAAAAAAAAAGAAAAAGTGTCAAAACATAGAGAAAGTTATACCACGCTAGCAACCAACACTAATAAAAAGAAAGCTGGAGTAACTACAGTAATTTCAGACAAAGCAGACGTCAGAACAAGGAAAATAAACATAAAGGGAAGTGGTACATAATAAGAAAGGGGTGGCTGGGCATGGTGACTCAAGCCTGTAATCCCAGCACTTTGGGATTACAAAATACTCAGCTGAGGCAGGAGTATCACTTGAGGTCAGGAGTTCAAGACCAGTCTGGGCAATACAGCAAGACCCTGTCTCAAAAATAAATAAAAAGATAGCAAGCAACCAAGAAAGCAAGCAAGAAAGTGGTTAATTCCCCAAAAAGACATAACAATATAAAACATATATGCAACTAACAACAGAGCATCAAAGTGAGGCCAAAAAAACTGATAAAACTGCAAGGAGAAAAACAGAGAAATCAACAGTTATAACTGGCTTTTTGATGCAGCTTGTTGAGATAACAATAAATCTTTGTCATCAATATATTATCCCTTCCTCCCAGCTTTTTGCCTGCAAGCTTGATACACCTACCTTCTCTTTGTTCAAAGAGGTGAAAACACTCAATGGGCCAGAGGCAGGTTCAGAGCCCTAGGGAAGACAACTTCCCATAAGTGAATATCGATTAGTTAATAACAATATTAATAATAATAGTTATTATATAATTAGTACATATTGAACATTATTATGTGCCAGGCACCATTCTAAGCACTTTATAAGCAATATCCCTTTGATTCTTCATAATAACTTCGTGAGGCAAATAACTACTATTATGTATATTTTCCAAATGAAGAAAGTGAGGCATTAAAATGTTAATTGACCAAGGTCAAAAAAGCTAAGTGGGGCACTGGATTTGACTTCAAGTAGGGGCCCTTGCTCTTAATCACAGTACTAAGATATGCTGCCTCCCAATTTGGAAGCAAATAAGTAATAAAATGGTACTTCATCTCAATAGTTTGAAACAACAGTTCAGGCTTTTGCTTTACATGTAAGTTGGTTAAATAAATGTAAGCATTTTTAATTTTTTTTTAAAGAATCGATGAAGTTGTACTGTATTTGATGCCCAAAAGGCACAACTCCTTAGTGAAACCCTTAGGAAGGTTTGTTTTTGGAAAGAGTTCAGGAAAGGCAGAGGTGCCTTTGGCAGACAGGTGGAACGAAGTGGGACTGGTGCAGGTACCTGAATGCGCTGAGGTGAGGCTACAGCAGAGTCGGTGGAGATTATCTGGATGCGTGGGGAGGGGCTGGTCATCCCTGGAGATTCCGGCCGAGAGGTCTGTGTACGTGTTACCTGTGGGCGAGAAGTGGGCTGGATCACAAGGGGGTTCAGAATGATGCTCAGAGGTGGCCTGAAGACCATGCCTCTTGCTTTCACTGTGGCCTGGAGTGATAAACTTGTGTGGTTCTGAGGTTGGACCCAGAAGGATGACAAAGGAATCAATGAGATGTTGCTACAGGGTGCCCCCCAGGAAAATACAATCTTAAAACAGCTGTTCCTAATGTTGGAAATGCAAGAAGAAACCAAAGGAATTTGCAATTCTGCTCTGCACACTTTAATAAAGTAAAAACCTACCAAAATAACATTTTAAAGATGATCTTTGAATGTTATCCCTGTCTCCAAAGCCACCTGTAAAACATTCCTTTAATATGATGGTTTCCCAAGAAAGGCTCTCACAACACACCAGGGGATGACAAACAAAACTGACATTACACTGAAAACTACTGGGATTAGTACTTATACAAGGCTTCTGGTAATTTCTCAGCCCCAGTGGGATGGAGCTAGGAAAAGCCTGTCAGGACCACAGGGTCTGAAATTTAGTCAATACTTATACCAAAGGCAAGGTTCAGGTGCTAAGTGGTCACCTGGATATTTGGAGTGGACAGATATATTTTTTCTTGATAGAAAGTGTATTGTGGCTGGGTGTGGTGGCTCACACCTAAAATCCCAGCACTTTGGGAGGCTGAGGTGGGTGGATCACTGGAGGTTAGGAGTTAGAGACCAGCCTGACCAACATGGTAAAATCCTGTCTCTACTAAAAATACAAAATTAGCCAGGCATGGTGGCGTATGCCTGTAATCCCAGCTACTAGGAAGGCTGAGACAAAATTGCTTGAATCCGGGAGGCAGAGGTTGCAGTGAGCCAAGATCGCGCCACTGCACTCCAGCCTGGGCGACAAGAGTGAAACTCTGTCTCCAAAAAAAAGAAAAAAGAAAAAAGAAAAAGGAAAAAACCCCCCAAAACAAAAACACAATAATCAATTGTATTTTTATATATTAGCAATGAGCAATCTGAAAATGAAATTAAGGAAGCCATCCCACTGACCACGCATCAAAAAGGATAATATATTTAGAAATAAAATAAATTTAGCAAAAGAAATGCAAGATTTGAATACTGAAAACTATAAAATATTGCTATGAGAAATTTAAAACACCTAAATAGGCCGGGCACGGTGGCTCACGCCTGTAATCCCAGCACTTTGGGAGGCCAAGACGGGCGGATCACGAGGTCAGGAGATCGAGACCATCCTGGCTAACACAGTGAAACCCTGTCTCTACCAAAAATACAAAAAATTAGCCGGGCGAGGTGGTGGGCGCCTGTACCCCCAGCTACTAGGGAGGCTGAGGCAGGAGAATGGTGTGAACCTGGAAGGCAGAGCTTGCAGTGAGCCGACACTGCGCCACTGCACTCCAGCCTGAGCGACAGAGCAAGATTCCGTAAAAAACAGAAATAAAAACAAAAACCCTAAATAAACAGAGAGACATTTGTGTTCATGGATTGTAAAACTTAATATTGTTAAGATGGTGATATTTCCCAAATTGATCTACAGATTCAATGTAATCCCTATCAAAATTTCAGGTGTTTTTGCATAAATTGACAAAATGATCCTAAAATTAATATGGGAATGAATGGGACCTAGAATATTCAAAACAATCTTGAAAAAGAACGAAGTTGGAGGACTCACACTTCCTTATTTCAAAACTTATTTACAAAGCTACAGCAGTTAAAACCGTGTGGAATTCAGCAATCACACTTCTGGGTATTTACCCAAAAGATTTGAAATCAGTTTGTCGAAGAGATGTCTGCATTCCCATGTTCTCTGCAGCACTGTTTGCAATAGCCAAGTTACATAATCAACCAACATGTCCATCAATAGATGAATGAATAAAGAAAATGTGGTATATACACACAATGAAATACTATTCAGCCTTTAAAAAGAAGGAAATTCGGTCATTTCTGACAACATGGATGGAATTGGAGAACATTATGGTAACTGAAATAAGCCAGGCACAGAAAGACAAATACCACATGTTCTCACTTAATGCAGAATCTAAAAGAATCAAACTCGGCCGGGCGCGATGGCTCAAGCCTGTAATCCCAGCACTTTGGGAGGCCGAGACGGGCGGATCACGTGGTCAGGAGATCGAGACCATCCTGGCGAACCCGGTGAAACCCCGTCTCTACTAAAAAAAAATACAAAAAACTAGCCTGGCGAGGTGGCGGGCGCCTGTAGTCCCAGCTACTCAGGAGCGTGAGGCAGGAGAATGGCGTGAACCCATTCTCCAGGGAGAACCCACTCTCCAGGGAGGCGGAGCTTGCAGTGAGCTGAGATTTGGCCACTGCACTCCAGCCTGGCGACAGAGCCAGACTCCGTCTCAAAAAAAAAAAAAAAAAAGGATCAAACTCATAAAACCAGAGTAAAATGGTAGTTACAGAGGCTGAGGGGCAGGGGGAATGGGGAGATGAAAGGTCAAAAGGTACAAAATCTCAGACAGGAGGAATACTTTTATTTTTTTTTTTAGATCTATTGCACAGCATGGCGAATATAGTTAATAAAAGGCTAGTGTACATTTCAAAATTGCTAAGAGTAAATTTCAAATGTTCTCATGGCAAAAATAAGTATTTAAGGTGATGGATATGTTAATGAGCTTGATTTAATTTTTACACATTGTACTCACAGATCATAACATCACTCTGTACTGTAAATATATGCAATTATAAACTCAATTTTTAACTTATAAAAAAATTGCAGTACTGGTATAAAGACAAGACATACAGACCAATGGAATATAACAGAGAACGCAGAAATAAACTCTCACGTGTATGTTCAAATTTGAGAAAGGTGACACGATAATTCAATAGGCAAAGAACAGTCTTTGACAAATGGTGATGGGACAAGTGGAAATCAAACACAGGGGAACAAATCTGGATACCTACCTTGCACTATCACAAAAAAAAAAATCAAAATGGATCAAAGATCTACATGTAAGAGTTAAAACTACAAAACTCTCAGAAAACACAGGTGTAAATTTTTGTGAACTTGAATTAGGTGATTCTTAGATGACACCAAAAGCAAAAGCAGCACAAGAAAAATTAGAAAATAATCATCAAAACTAGAAACTTTTTTTTTTTTTTTGGGCAAGATCTCTTACTCTGTCACCTGTGCTGGAGTGCAGTAGTGCAATTATGGCTCACTGCAGCCTCATCCTCCTGGGCCCAAGCAATCCTCCCAACTCAGCTTCCTGAGTAGCTAGGATGACAGGTGTGTGCCACCATGCCCGGTTAATTTATTTTGTTGTTTTGTTTTTGAGACGGAGTTTCACTCTTGTTGCCCAGGCTGGAGTGCAATGGTGCAATCTCAGCTCACTGCAACCTCTGCCTCCTGGGTTCAAGTGATTCTCCTGCCTCAGCCTCCCAAATAGCTGGGATTAAAGGCATGAGCCACCACGCCCGGATAATTTTGTATTCTTAGTAGAGACGGAGTTTCTTCATTTTGGTCAGGCTGGTCTCCAACTCCTGACCTCAAGTTATCCACCTGCCTCGGCCTCCCAAAGTGCTGGGATTACAGGTGTGAGCCACCGTGCCCGGCCTTAAAAAAAATTTTTTTTTTTTTGAGACAAGGCCTCACTCCTGGATGCCCAGGCCAGAATGCAGGGGCATGATCTTGGTTCACTGCAGCCTCAACTTTCCAGTCTCAAGTGATCTGCCCACCTCAGGCCCCCAAGTAGCTGAGACTATGGGTGTGCACCACCTAATTTTAAATTTTTCTGCAGAGATGAGGTCTCCCTATGTTGCCCAGGCTTGTCTCCAACTCCTGGTTAAAGTGATCCTTCCTCCTTCGCCTCCCAAAGTGTTGGGATTACAGGTGTGAGCCAGCATACCTGCACCCAAATTAATGAGCTTTGTGTTTCAAAAGATACCATCGAGAAAGTGAAAAGACAACCTATAAAATGGGGGGAAAAAAGTGCAAATCATGTATCATTACAACTTAACAAAAAGACAAAAATCCCAATTTAAAAATGGGCAAAGAGTTAAGACATTTCTCCTAGAAGATATACAAATGGCCAATAAGCACAGGAAAAGATGTTTAAAGGTCATTAGTTGTTAGGGAAATGCAAATCAAGACCACGATGAGATACCACTTCATATCCACTAAGGGCTACAATATAAAAGATGGACAATAACAAGTATTGGTGAAAATGTGGAGATGGGAACCTTCATACACTGCTGGTAGTAATGTAGAATGGTACAGTTACTTTGGAAAACAGTCTGGCTGTTCCTCAAAGGGTAAACACAGAGTTGCCATAGGACCCATAATTTCACTCCTAGGTATATACTCAAGACAAAGAAAAACATATGTATACACAAAAGCTTGTATACAAATGTTCACAGCAGCATTAGTGATAACAGGTAAAAAGTAGAAACAACTCAAATATCTCTCAAATGAAGAATGGATAAATGAAACATGGTCTATCCATGTAATGGAATATTATTTGGCAATAAAAAGGAATGAAGTGCTGATACATGCTACAACATGGAAGAATCAGCCACAAAAGACCACCATATATTGCATGATTGTATTTATCTAAAATGTCCAGAATGGGCAAATCCACGGAGACAGAAAGTAGATCAGTGGTTGCCCAGGTGATAGGGGAACGGGAGTAGCAAGAATAATTGTTAAGAGATGTGGGTTTTTTAGTGGGGGCATGATAAAAATATTCTGGATTTAGACAGTGGTGATGGTTGCATACTCTTGTGAATGTACGAAAACCCACTAAGCTGTCCATTTTTAAAAAATGAATTTTATGGTATGTGAATTATTATCTCAATTTGATAAAATATTATCAATTAATTCATTACTGGGCTATTAAATTTTTTTCTTTCATAAGCATACATTTTAACAACAACAAGTTCACTACAATGAAGTCAACAGAATCCCGTATTTTTACAGTGACTTTTAGGTTAAAAAATATGGATTAGCTCTCTCTTCGCTAAGAAATAGGCAGGACAAG